TTTCAGGTTTCATGATACAAGTCCTAGTCCAATTTTCCCTTTGGACATTTGCAATATTTACCAGTTGCGTTTTGTGTAGTCTGAGTTTGTTTTCTGTAGTTGAGCAAACGTCTTAAAAAGTCATTTGTAATTTATTAAATTACTTTCTATGATGTTCTATAGAGCAAATGGAAGTTTAATTATTTTTTATTAAACATATTCTTTGACTACCCATGATGTCAGCCTCTGTACATGACAATACTTCTTATTTTAATTGAATTTTTGCATAGCTAATTTATCTTGAAAGTTATGAAAGAAACTGCAGTCCTAAATCTTTAAATGGAAAGTATACTTGGTAAGAATTTTTAAGAGATAGAATTTGGTAATAATTATATTCACAATATTACTATTTCCTTAAGTTTTCTTCTCTGAAGCTTAAAAATAATCCAGAAAGACTCAGAGAGATACCTAACCTCTTAGAGGGGTTGATGTAGAAATCAGTCATTATTTTTTCATGTGGTCTTAGAAGCTTCTCAAGTCATTGCCATTGTCGATAGTGTTTCTTGTAAGCATGAAAAGTTTGTTTTTCCTCTAATTACCAAAGTAAAACAGTGGAGTCTCATTATGCACTCATTTAACTTGAACACATTCAACTATACTTTTATGCTTAGAAAAACTCTTTTTCTTTTTTCGTACAATATAGCATGTAAACACAAGCCAACTACTTCATCTAGTGCTCACCCAGAAGACCAGTAATCTACCCTGATGCTGGAGGAAGAACTGGCCATGGTGGATGTTTTTGAGAGAAGATACACTATAAGCTTATGTGTTCTGTATTTTGTGAGCTGTAGGAGGGAAAAGAGTGATATTTGACTACAGGTAATCTTCACCTTCTACAAGAAATCTAGAACTTAATTCCTATGTAAATGTAACTCCAGTACATAAGCTATTTATTTTTAAGTGCAGAAAACACGGAAGTATTTAAATCATTCACGAACCCACCGCGAGATAAAAATACTGTCAGTAGAGCTCTCCCATCTTTTTTATATGTATGTTATATACGTGTGGTGGGTTGATTAGTGTCCTACAAAAGTTTGTGTCAACGGAGAACCTCAGAATGTGACCTTATTTGAAACTAGTCTTGACAGATGTAATTAGTTACAATTCTGTCACACTAGATTAGGGTGGGCCCTAAATCCAGTGGCAGGTATCTTGAGAAGAGGAGAGGACACACAGGGAGGAGCGCGTCCAGACTGCAGGCCGGGACCGGAGTGATGCGGCGACGAGCGGAGGAACGCCGAGGGTTGCCAGCCACCTCCAGCCGGAAGAGAGGCGTGGAACGGATTCTCACTCAGAGCCCTCGGAAGGAGCTGTCCTCGCCAACACACTGATTTCGGACTCCTAGCCTTCAGAACTGTGAGAGAATAAATTTCTGTTTTAAGCCACCCTATTTGTGGTGATTTGTTATGGTAGCCCTAGGAAACTAACACATTTTCCTATTAAGTCAGTATTATATGGGGCTTAATATTTACTCTTCTGCCCTGGACGTACTGACCTATGTCAATAAGTATCCTGCAATGTGATTTTTCATCCTGATAATTTAGTATTGGCTCATACTGATGTAATTTATTTAACCAAGTAAAGATAGACATTTGGGTTTATATATGCATTTTTTTGCATCTATCCCTAATGATTTTCTTTATCCCTAGAAGTGAAAATACTTCCTCAGTTTTTAAGGTTTTTGATTTGTGCTGCCAAATTTATAATGATGCCATTAAGTAGCAATTTATATTACCGTTAGCAGGGTACATTTTGTGAATGTTCATTTACCCCAAATCCTTACCAATACTGTGTATTGTCCTTTGAAATAACATTTGCCAAATTCACAGGCAAAATAACATCTTGATGAATTTTTAAATTCTTTTTCTTAATAAAAAACAAGACATGCATATTATGGGAAGTCTGGGGGAGGGGAAGGGAAGTAGGGAAAGCGCAAAGTAAACCACACCCCCATGATGCTGTACACTCCGATCATTGTAAACTGTCGGGTCATTTTTCTCTGCAGATACATATTCTATATTATTTTAATAAGAATGGAGTCATACTGTACATACCATTTTGTAACCTTTTTTTTTTCCATTTACTATATCATGATTATCTTTCCATGTCATTAAAGGATCTTCCAAAACATTTTCAAGGACTTTCTGATTCTAATATGTAGATAGTATAATTTATTTAATACCCAATTATTGAGCCCCTACACACACACACACACAGGCTTTCAGTCTCTCACAATGCACTCCTAACCCTCCCTGAATTTTTTTTGTTTTTAATTTATATTTGACAATAACTTGTTCTGGGTCTGTTTCACCCATGAGCTCACAAGCTCTGTGGAGGCAGAGAGCGTACTCAGCTCATTCACTACTCCACCCTCAGTGTTTGCCAAAGCGCTTGACAGACAGCAGGCCCTGACGTTTGTGGAGCATTCGAATGGGTGGATGCGTAGCAGATTCTCTGGCTGAATGAATGAGTGAGAGAGTGAATAATCAGGATCCAAGAACCAAACCTATGAATAATCAATATTGACCTTTTTCATTGCGATGATTGACATTGTATTAATTTTAGGCGCAGAACACAATGATTTGATGTATGTATACCTTGTCAGAGGTGATTACCATAATAAGTTCAATCAACATCCATTACCACACGGTTGCAATACTCTTTCTTGTGGTTTTTAAGATCTATTCTCTCAGCAACTTTCAAATACACAATCCAATACAGCATGGTACTGATAGTCACCATGCTGTACGTTACATCCCCAGGAGTTAATCATTTGGGCAGTTTGTACCACTGGACCCCCTCACCCGTTTTGCCCCTACTCACTCACTCCTCACCCCCTATCTCCCCCGTCTGTTCTCTGTACCTATGAGATTGTTTTTTTTTTAGATTCCATGTGTGAGATCGTACAATAATGGTTTTTCTGTTTGAATTATTTCACATATATATAATGCATTCAAGGTCACAAATGGCAGGATTTCCATTTCTATGGCTAAATTACATTCCATCGTGTGTATATATATTTTTTCTTTATCCATCCATCCATCGATGGACTTGGGTTGACATCTCTTTGCTACTGTAAATGATGGTGCCATGAACACAGGGGTGGTTTTGTTTCCTCCGGATAAACTCCCATGAGAAGAAATGCTGGATCGTATGGAAACTTCTGTCATGCAAAAATATACACAGGAATGTTGTTAGTAGCTTTTGTCATAATCACCAAAAACTAGAAACCACCTGGCTGTTTTCCACTGGGGAATGGATAAATAAACATCAGGACATTCCAGTAATTGATAGGACTTAGCAACAAGAAGGGACAGACGACCCACACATGCAACAACCTGGAGAAGCCCAGTCACAGGTTAGGTAATGGGTATTACACTCGGAAGTTCCCCCATAGGGAAACCATGGGGGCAGAAAACTGGCCAGTGGTTGTCTGGGGCTGTGTGAGGAGGGGCTCACTACCAAGGGGCACTTAGGGAACTTTGGGGGATGGAAATGTTCTTTATTTTGGTTGTGGTGGACATGACTGTATTTGTCAAAATTCACAGAACTGTACACTTCAAAGCAAGTTTCACTGCATGCAAAGTACTCCTCAATGAATCTGACATAAAAGAATAAACAGAAAGATACTGAAAAATTAATTTGTACATACATTTTTGATGACAGGAAATATGAAAGATCAAGAACAGACTTTCAAAGCACAGAACAAGACAAAATTTTGTAGTGGGATACGAGAAGGAGAAATAGGAATGATACAAAAATTCTAATAAAGTTCTGTAAATGTACTTTTAAAACGGAAAACAGTATCAAACTACCAAGACATTTAGAGTCTATTGGCTTTGAAAATATTGGTATTGACAAGCAAAGCATTTCATGGTTTATTACCATAAATTTTACTTCAATTACATTAAGTGTTACTAAAATTGGTAAAGAGAGTTTTACCTCTAAACAAATTAAGTTTTTCATCTAGTAAAGTGTTGATGGTGTCCAACATAAGTATTACCATTATTCTAAAATGTATTATCCTCAGTCTCAATGTAAGGGAAGCACTGGACTTTCTTATACACTCACTCACAAATACTTATAAGGCAGTTGAACTCGACCTCTGTGCTTGCCCTGGATCACCTCGTGTCAGCCCAGAAAACTCAAACCCAACTCGACTGACAATTTCACTGCAGGATCCAGGCTTCGTTTCCCACGTCCTCCTCTCTGCCTTCAGGCGCCCTCACCTCTCTCCCCGGCTCCTGCTCCAGTTTCCCGAAACTGGCTTTCGTCCCAGAATGTCTCTTCCTCAAGTGTACATTGCCTTCCCGCTCCTTAAGCATGAAAATGCCGCTCACTATACCCATTTGTTAACCAAAGAGGACTGGGAATAAACTGGTATAAGTGTACCTATAGGGAAAGAGAAGGCAAAATAAAAATAAAGCAGTAAAATTAATTGGGTGACTGAGGATAGTGCAAATAAGTCACAGTGAACACACTCTTGGCCTTGGGGTGGGGGGTGGGGAGAGGGAATTACTGCTTTAAAAAAACCCCAATGTTTATTTAAATGCTCAAATACAATTTAAACTCAGGAAAAAACTAGAAATTAGGAGAACGGCCAAAAACGAACTTCGGTAGACAGCCCCTTCTTATTCTTTAAATGAGACACCAAGGTGATGATGAGTCTCTGCTAACAGCTTGGATATTAAACAGTCCCACGTCAATATTTTCTTAATAGAGCCCCGCGGAATGATCTCACGTTGGGGAGGTACTTATACAGAAGTCGCTTTTTATTTCAGCCCAGATAAGACTGCAGGAACCAACTCCCCCGCCCCCCCCCCAAAAAAAAAATTGGACCCTCTTGGGCCTCTGAACCGGACTACATTTCCCGGCAGGCCGTGCTCCGAAGTACGGGTGCCTACGTGAGGTCACGCGCCGTCAGCGCGGCGCAGTTGTCTTATAAGCGGCGGACGGGCGGGCGCTTCGCAGTTTGAATGGCTAGGTGCTTGGCTGTTCTGTTCACCTGAGGATCGTTCGTCCAGGAGTGCGATATGGCATCCGCAGGCGACGAGTCGCCGCCACCCCCACCACACCCCCCGGCTGTAGCCAGCTCGGAGGAGGAGGAAGAAGAGGGAGAGGCGGGGGTCGCCGCGCCGCGGGCCCTGTCGCCCACCCCTCAGACCCTGCAGCGGTTCGAAGAGCTGTGCTGCCGCCTCAACATGGACGAGACAGCTCGGGCGGAGGCCTGGGACAGCTACCGGAGCATGAGCGAGAGCTACACGCTGGAGGTGCGCCTGCGGGGAGTGGGGGGGGACTGGGGAGGCGGGAGGCGAGGGTCTTTGCGGGCCGAGCGGTCGCGCCCGCCGTGGGAATGGGGCTCCTGCTGGCCCCGGACCGGGCGCCGCGCACGGACTCTCCCACGGGCCCCGGGGTGGGAAGGAATCCGCTCTGCGCACCCCAGTCCTGGACTCCCGGCTTTCGAACAGCTCTTAGCGGCCCTGGAGGCGACTCCCGCACTCGCGCTGTTCCCTTGGGGGGTCCGAATGGGGAACACCTGTTGCCCTGAGGCAACCCTGCCAGGCTGAGGTTGTGCTGGGGCCGTGGTTAGTCGTTTACGACCACCTGGTTGTCAGAACGCACAGGTGCCGTGGTCGACCCCGCACGAAGACGGGGAGGGGCTCGCTCGGGACAGGAGCCCGCTTTTAGGGCTCTGGTGGTCTCCGTGTCCAGTTCGTTGCCTGCCGAGCCGGACCGCCCGTATGCAGGCGTCGCCTCTGTTGGAATAAACGCGCTCGGTTTCGGGCTGCGCTTGTGTCGGTGTGTACTAGGGGAGTGTTTTCCAGGGCGCCTGGGGTGGGTTTTCCGCCTCCCTGGGCATTAACACCCGACCCCCTTTGTCACTAGGCGGGGGGGTGGGGTGGGGGGGCAGTCGACGACCTTGACCACCTTTTGGTAGCCGCAGGCGCTGCACAGGACTTGAGACTCGCTGGGATGATTTAGGCCTGTTGTGTCCCTGCCTCCGGGCAGGGCCTGCGGAGCCGAGGAACGCCGCTTCCAGCCAGTGAGGGTGCGCTCTCGCAGGCCCCGCCCCCGAGCGGGCCAATGGGAAGCCACGCGGAAGTCGGGGTTGTTTATCAGCTGTGCCGCTGGCCGCGGCGAGCCTTTAAACAGGAAGCCACGTGACTCTCTGAAGTGGTTGTGCAGGTTGTGGGAAGAGCTGGGCAAGTAGGCTCATGATGGGGAGGCCTAGCAAAGGTATTTTACCCGAGGGTATGTTTGCCCATGAGCGACCAAGGGTATTTTTTTAGTTATTCTTCCATTCGTCGGATTTTAATTCAGCTCTCTCCCCATTGTTATATGCATAAAAAAAAAAAGGAAAGCTAGTATACTCCGGTGACTTTAGACCGTTTACCTAACCACCGCAAAGCTCAAAGTTGTTGTGATGTGTCAACTTGAGATGCTAGGTCCCGGAGCTGTCCTGAAGGTCAAGTGAGGTGATAACATGTGGTGTCTGGCACAGGGAGCACCCGGGAGGACGTCGCTGGAGCCCCCAAAGCTCTTTCCTATGCTTAGGTGGTCCGGCCGAACAGGCCATGCTCCCGCCCGTTCCCCAGTGGTGCCTGGGGTCTGGCGCAGAGCGAAGACCCTCTGCTGGTGGGCTGCTGCTGGGCGTTCAGTGCCTCCCGATGCGCTCCCGGGTCGCCCTCAGATAATCCCGTAAATTACACAGAACGCACCCTGCAGTCGAGGTATCTCAGCCCATAGAGGTTAAGTTGTGAAGTCCAGTGGTGTATTACAGGCAAGGGAGAAACAATAAATGGTTAGTAAAGTATTTCACAAAATGTGTTTGATTACTTAATTTTCTTACGACTTTGGGCTCAGATTCTTAGCTCCGTTTACCCAATAAATGGGCGAGTGTTTATTCATGTATCACATATTTTTTGATCACTGTTCCTTGCTAGACCCTGTCGTAGGTGCTGGGAATAGACCAGTGAACAAAACCTAACCCCCCCCCCCCACCCTGTGGCTCTTGTAGTCACGTATGCTGTGTGGGAATGTGACATTTGATACAGAATACTGGCTACAGAATTTTATCTCTGGATAAAAATTTCTTGTGTTTTCTGTGCCTCATACTTGTAATTCTTCCCACCCTCAGATAAGAAAACGGAGAGTCCGTGGCTCCTGAGTAATTTGCCCCAGGTGTTCTGCTCCTGGGTCTCCCAAGGCCTCAGCCCTGGTGGAGCCGGGTGGAGTCTGTATTGTGTGTATTGATTGCAAATATTGCTTTCATCTGTGTTGTTGGTTAACCTAGTTCAAAGTGATGGAACTCAGATTCCTGCCTCCAGTGAAGAATGCCATCATAACAGCATGAGTGATGGGGCCATCACTGGGAATGCAATTCCCCACAAACATACAAATATCACTCCCAGTTTCAACATAAGACCTTTTTATATTGAAATATACAGCCCGTTAACTACATGTCAATTTTCTTTTATAGGGAAATGATCTTCATTGGTTAGCGTGTGCCTTGTATGTGGCTTGCAGAAAATCCGTGCCAACTGTAAGCAAAGGGACAGTTGAAGGAAACTATGTATCTTTAACTCGACTCCTGCGCTGTTCAGAGCAGAGGTAACTATGTTAGTGTGTGAAACACAGTGTGACTAATGTAAAAGCTCGCAAACCATATCACAGTGGTTGTGAGAATTCTCTTGATCGTTTTCTGCGCATGTGCACCTATGGAGTGCTGAGTGTCGGACCCAGGGCATGGTTTCCCTTTACCATGTCTAAGTAGTATCCATCGTACTTGGGGGTGAGCAACACTATCATACTCAGTTATAAAAATGGTCAAATAATGCTTCAGAGAAAAGGCAGAAATTGCTTTTTCTATCTGTTGTGTTATTCAATTGATTACATTTATTTGTGCCTTTTGGGTGAATTTTCTCTGTAGCTTATTAAAGATTGATGGAAAAAAAGATGTTTGGCACTTTGGAGACTAAATACCATTTGTCATCATTTATGAACCTAATGGTTTTAAAAGTCACTATTAAAATAGCTAACAAGAAATATAAGCATTTAGCTGTAGTATATTTATCGACTTGGAGCCTCATCCTGAGTTATGTTTAGGCCTGAGAACAAGCGGCAGTGCACACAGAGTTGAACACGGGGCTGGAAGCTGGAGAAGTGGCCTTAAATGAGGTGCCAGGTTGTAATCGTTACAAAGAAGCAAGTGGAGGCAGATGAATCCAGTTACGTGACAAGGAGCTTGAGAAACAAAGGTCAAAAGACAAAGTCATCATTATAAATTATGGTTAATGAAACTTACCTAACATTAAATGCAAGTAATACAGTCTTGGGCTTCAGTTTATTTCCCCTTTGAGAAATTCGGTTTCACCTTTAAATTTTTACCTGTGGGTTTGGATTATTGACTTTTTGGCCATAGTGGACTACATGGATTAGAAACAAAGAGCAGATTGGCAGAAGATATTTGCGATGCATATCACTGAGAAAAGATTAGTATCCAGGATTATATAAAGAACTAGTAACAAATGGTTAATTGACAAGCGGCTACTAGAAAAAAATTGGTAAATATGTTTTCACAAAGGACAAAACTCAGCCAATAGACATAGACAAAGATGTTCAGTCTCACTACTAATTAAGGAAGTTCAAAGTAAAAACAAGATAACATTTCATTCTCATTAAATTGGGGAAATTTGAAGTCTGATAATACCCATGTTGGTCGTTCTGTAAGGAAATAGAAACTCTGTATTACTAGTACGCACTGCTGAGAGTATAATTGGCACAACCACTTCTGTGGAAATTTGGTAGTTACCTAGTAAAGGTGGAAATGCACATTTCTCTGACTCGGCAATCCTACTTCTTGGGGTAGTTGGTAAAGAAACTCTTACATATTCAGGAATGTATTTGTTACAGCATTTTAAGTTATAATAAAAAATTAGAAAACTCAATTTCAATTAATTGGGGAATGAATGCGAAAAATGGTTCGTATGAAGGAATATTTTTTGCAATTAGAATGAACAACTGAGATCTACAAGTATCAACATTAGTTACTGACAAAACAAGTTGCAAAATGCTACTTGAAGTAGGATACTATTTATATAAAATTGTAACCACACATGCAAAAGATTCTGGGTACTGTTATGGATACAAATATATCTACATAGTAGCGCTGCTGCTAGTAAGTACAAAGGCACTGATGGGAAACATTCAGACCCACTTTAGAACAGTGTTTATCTCTGGGGAAGAAGAGTGGGGAATGAGGTGGAGGAGGGAGGAGTACAAATGGAAACTCGGGCTGTTTTGTAGAACCCAGCGCAGGTGTGGCAAAATTTATTCACTCTGTCAGCGTTTGTTAAATCTGGCATTTGAATACATGAACGTTGGTTGTGTTACTCTGGTTAATTATTTTTTAAATTTATAATTTAAAAAGTAATTTGAGAAAAAAATTGATTAAGAAAGCAGAGAAATCAACCTGTAGGAGATTAAGCCATTCAGAGGCATGAGTTTTGATTTTATAGCACTATCTGAAATATGAGTTAATTTTTATTTACTTTTAGTTGCATTTGTGTACTTGTGTAAATTTAGAATTTTTTTTCTTCTTAATAATAGCTTAATTGAATTTTTTAACAAGATGAAGAAATGGGAAGAGATGGCAAACCTACCCCAACATTTCAGAGAACGTACCGAGAGATTGGAAAGAAACTTCACTGTTTCTGCTGTAGTTTTTAAGAAATATGAACCCATTTTCCAGGAGATTTTTAAATATCCTCAAGAGGAGCAGCCCCGTCAGCCACGAGGAAGAAAACAGCGGTATGCTTTTATCTTGCTCGTTAGGGGCACGCACGTGTCCGTCTGGGCCACGGTTCTGATTCCTTGGTTCTTGTCCTGCAGTTTATTTTGCTAGTCTTAAAAAAATGAATGTGAGGTCATAAATAACTTATTTCTCTGATAGCTTTCTTTTAATAATAATTTCTTATTTTTCATTATATGTCAGCCATGAAGGGTTTGGCTTTCATATTGCAAAATGTATGGGATTTCTGTTCACATAAACTTCCACTTTTCATTTAAGCAACCAAAAATGCAAAAGTCAGAACACAGATATTTTCACCAAAATAAATGGGTATGGAATTTGACTACTTGATTTTCTATTACTGAGTATTTCTATCATTTTCTCTGTATTCTAATACATACTGGTTCTTTCTTTTTTTTTTTTTAGCTTTTATTTTTTTATTTTTGGAGAGAGGGAAGAAGAGGGAGAAAAATATCAATGTGTGGTTGCCTCTTGTGTGCCCCCTGCTGGGAACCTGGCCTGCAACCCAGGCATGTGCCCTGACTGGGAATCAAACTGGCGACCCTTTGGTTCCCAGGCCGGTGCTCAATCCATTGAGCCACACCAGCCAGGGCTGACTATTTCTATCATTTGAATTTTATGTCTAAACTGAGTACTAAATAATCCCCATGAAGTGGTTTCTGTCTATATTTTGATGTTTACAACCAATGAAAAATTGAGAAGCTGGACTGGGGGAGACAATGGGAAGCTGAAACTGCTATGAATTTGTGCTTTCTGATCATGTCTGCAAAGTCTACAGACTTAACTGACTCGATGTTTTTCATTAATAGACAGTTATTAAGAATTTTCTTTCTGCCTTGGCTTGTATAGCTCAGTGCATTCAGCATGAGCTGCTAACCAAAGGGTCGCCAGTTCGATTCCCAGTCAGGGCACAGGCCTGGGTTGTGGGCCGGGTCCCCGGTGGGGGGCATGTGTGAGAGGCAGCCACACATTGATGTTTCTTTCCCTCTCTTTCTCCTTCCCCTCCCGTCTTTCTAAGAATTTTCTTTCTAAGAGGAGCTCGTCTCGGGCTCCCAGCTAACTGCTTGCCCATGTGTGCTTGCAGTGGAAACCCTTGCACATTTTCCCACTGAGGTGAATCTGCTCCGCCTTCCCCTAACTGTGGGTTTTGTTTCTCATGTAATGTATAGTCACTGGTCATGTCTTTTTCTAATTCTCCTGTTATCTCTTGGCTTTTTTCTCCCCCAAAGGCGACAGCCCTGTACCGTGTCTGAAGTTTTCCATTTTTGCTGGGTGCTTTTCATATATGCAAAAGGTAAGGGAACAGCAGCGTCGCTTTAGGTGGTAGTGTGTTTAAGTGTTCGGGCGCTGCTTGTGCCGACCGAGACTGCATCTCAGGAGAAGCTGCTTACTGAAAAATTTCCCAGTGATCTTATTCACAGGTTCTTTAAGTATTGCCTTTTTATTTAAAAAGTCTTTTACCCTCTTTACAAAATCCAAAACTTCTCTTATTAAATGAGAAGGTTTTCAATTTTGTTCTTACACAGTATCTTTCCCACCCTCATGCGTTTTCTGAATTACGGACTGGAAACACATCAGTGTTTCCGTGATTACGATCGTGAGCTGTACGTTTTCATGAGACAAGTCTTACTTAGTTGGGTTGGAGTGATCATGCTCAATAGTTCAGGTTACTTTCTGCATCTTGTTCAGATAAATGTGCTTGACCAAATGCCTTGAGATACACTTTTATTTTCTCTCCCTGTTTTCTCATTTCACTTAACCTACTCAAGGTCTGCATTCAGTGAAACACGTTTTGGGGTCCCCCTTCTCCCTGTCTGTGCTTCTCTGTAGAATTCTTGGAAATCTAAAGAAGAAAAGAAAGTACAGTTGCATACTGATACTTTACATGGCTTTTTTCCTGGAGACTGTATAGGACGCCTTTGCCATTAAGATAGCCCGATAAAATGCAAAGTTAAAATTTTTAAAAAACCATAGAACTGCAAGGAGTTTCATAAATAAGAGATTCCCATTATTAGGTCAGGTAGCCCAAGTGATTTACACTGAAGATGAGGCAGCCGAGCCCCAGAAACCAGCTGCTGCAAACGGAGAGAGGGTTGGAGCCCAGATCTCCGAGGTCTCGGTTTCATGCAGGGCGCGAAGGCCCTCCAGCAAGAATATGTCATTCCATGGGCCTTGCTCCTTCGTTTGTCTGCTTAAAACTGCGCCTTTCTGGCTAGCTAGTCGAAAGGTCATCCTGCTTCCCCTGAGCTGCATGCTTCCCTGAAATGAAAGGTTTTCCACGAAAAATAAGCAGTTAGGTATTTGGCTTCCCGTCGCCCTGACGTGTTTCTTTAGTGGAGACAAAGGTGAGGTGGTCACAGCAGGAAGGAAAGGCTTGGGGGCGTGTGAGCTGTCCCCACAGCGGTGGCTCGCCCCCGCCTCTGGCTGGCCGGGGCGGTGTTCTGCGTGTGTGACGTTACTGTCTGTCCTTTGGCTGGGCACGTATATCCGACTTCTAGGGTTTTCGTTTCATGTGTGTCTTCTATGGTGTGTGTGTCACTGGGAGTGAATACACTGTATGAGCTATTTTAAAGGAATTTTATTGTCCTCCCATTGATTTTGGTCTCAGTTGATCGACTGGGGTGGCATGTTTGTTTTTTTTTTGTCTCTGCAGTGAGCTGTTGGAGTTTTATCTCACTATTAACTTGGTCTGTATGTGCTTGATCCGAGCAGTTTTTGTCCCCTCACAGTCCAGGACTAGGATCTTCTAGAGTTCTCTCGGGTCTTTGCTGAGAGAGCAGTCGATTCGGTTTTGTTCAGTTCCTGACGGTAGGGGCTTGGCAGAGATGTTCTCCTCGGTGGGCTTCTTGTGTATGGCGCGTGCACCCCGCCGGGGCTTGTCCTCGTGAGGGGCTCTGAGGCCCAAAGACCAGCAGGTGCCACTCCCCGTTTCGTATGAGAACCCACATCTTCTCATCACCCGAGGAGTAAGCCAACCCTGGAGGTTAAACAGGTTGTTCTGTCCATTGAAAGATGAAGTATCTCACAGTGAGATTTATTTCTAAAGTTAGGATTTGAAATGTGAAGTATGTCACGTAGAGGCAGTCCTGGAGTTGAACTTAGATTCTGATCTTCAGGGGCATTTCAGCTTTTTGCTGGGAGCTGCAGTGCTGGGGGCTTGCTTTTGCCTTCTACGGCAGGCACGCGGCAGTGACAAGTTCAGGCTTGTCCGGGTGACGGGCTCTGCAGCTTGAAACCATTAAGTGCCACCGCTTCCCGTTTTACATTTGAGGAACTGAGAATATTTTAATATTAAAAATACTTAGAGTAGAACCACGTAGGTTAGTGTGGTTACGTCAATGCAGTATTTAACCTGTTAATCATCATTTGCCTTTCTGGCAACAGAAAGATATTTTTTCTTGTTAATGTATTTAAGTTGATTTATTGAATGTTTTTAATCTATACAGCATAGAATTATCCTAATAGGCTGAGGCAGTGGTAACTGTCTTTGGTGGAAAGGTAGAAAAAAGCCTGAAGCAAAGCAGTGTGAGTGTGTGTGTGTGTGCGTGCGCTTGGGTGGGCATTCAAGTGCGCAGATGTTGAGGTTCGGAACAATTATTTTGCATGTGTGTTCGCTATTTCAGTTGGACTCATCTGATGTTATAAGAATGTAAAATCAATATGAAGTCTGCACATGCAGTGTTGAATGAAAAGGAGGATATCCTTGAAGTTACAAAACTAGAAATACTTCTTAATGTCGAAGAACAATAAAACTGGTTAGCTGCCTGAGAAAACTGTTTTCCGTGCTAGACGTGAACCAGCACTGCAGACCCGGCGTGTTTGTGGGTCTAAGCTTCGGTTTCTGTGTCCTTCACTGTGGAGCATCCACAGCCTGTGGGATGCCAGCTCTGGGTCTTAAACACCCTCCATTGTGACCCTGTTGCATTAGTTTGTATTGCCTTGTATTCGTAGGTGGAAAAGTATTTAAAATGGTATTATCAGGAGTCTACTTGGAGGCTATGGTCTTTTGAAAGTACATACATGAAAAAGTTACACATGAGTAATTTTTAGCTATCTACATTTAAGTATTTCTACTAATTTTCTTGACAGAACTATTTTTATATAAAACAGTTTCTCACAGTTTGAGATAATTTGTGAAGTTTTATTCCCAAATTTTCAAAGGAAAAACCAATGACAATAAAGTTTTGATCAGCTACTAGTCATTTAATAAATGTTTGTTTAATGAGTACTGGGTGAACGAATGACATTTTTTGTAAAGTTTTACTTTTCATTAAACTCTTAGTAATTTATTAAAGTATAAGAATAGTATTTCAAAATGTAAATTTGCCGAAACTCGTTAGCTCTTGAGTCTGCTTGATAACAGTGTTGTATGATGTCATTTTAATGAAAGGGAGAAATTACTTTTAACATTACAGAGTTGACACACATTGACCTCTCTGACTCCTCGTAACCCTGTAGGAAATTTCCCCATGATCAGCGATGATTTGGTCAATTCCTACCACCTTCTGCTCTGTGCCTTGGACCTGGTGTACGGAAATGCCGTTCAGTGCTCCAACCGCAAAGAACTTCTGAACCCCAACTTTAAAGGTAAGTTTGTCAATCAAAGATTATTGGACAATTCGAATTTCTACGTTGCATTTACTCTTGGGAGTTTTGTGCGTAGTACAGGGGTCTTAGCGTTAAAGACCGTCAGTGCTTTGAAGGCTCCATCATTGTTGCTTTCCGCAGTACTTATAACTGGGGGTCAAGGTCTCTGTCACAATACTGATGGAAAAAGCAGTTGCAAACACCACAAAGTTTTAAGTCTCACATGACCACTGGAAGTTTCTGAAATGCATACTCAACCAGAAGAAGGAGTTCAGAAATCCAGAGGAGCAAAGGTGGCATTAGAGCTGATAGTGTTTTTCTACACTGGCGAGCTTTGTGCCTGGCACACTGAAAGGGCTCAAAATGGACTTACTGAACGAATCTGCATTTTAGATTTTTTGCCACCAGAGCGTAGTTTTGGTTCTACAATAAGGAAAATGGACTTGCAGGTCTTAGGTGAAAGCTGTGTGGAGATCTGGGTCCAGGTCCGGGCGGCCCTGCCGGACAGCTGGAGCGAGGGCCGGCGCGCGGGTCCCGCCCGCCCGGTGTGTTTGCTCGCCGGCTTGGGTTGTGGGCTCTACCCGCACATCCTGCCTCATTTGGCAGAGCCCACGGCTCTGGGCCGGCATGGGCAGCAGCCCCCACCTGCAGGACCGGTCATGGCGCCACTGTGTCGACGACAAGATCAAAGTGGCCAAGCCAGTGCTGGAGATGGACAGCAGTGGGATGGCCCAAAGTATCTGGCTGCTCATCAAAGAGAAATTCCTCCGGCCCCATGTGGACATTCATCTCAAGTAGTGTGACCTGGGGCTCCCAAACATTGACCTGACCGAAGGCCAGGTAACATCGACTCTGTGTTGGCCACAGTGTCGCTGCCCAGTGCGCCACCATCACCCCGGTGAGGCCCATGTGGAAGAGTCCGAGCTGAAGAAGATGCTGAAGTGTCCCAGTGGAACCGTCCAGAACATCCTTGATGGAACCGTCTTCTGGGAGCCCAGCATCTGCACAAACGCCCCACGTCGTCCCTGGCTGGACCAACCCCTTCACCACTGGCAGGCACGCCCACGGCAACCAGTAGAAGGCAGAGACTTCGTGGCCAAGCAGGCCGGCCCTTCAAGATGGCCCTTGCCCTGAAGGACAGCAGCAGGGCTGAGGAGCAGGAGGGGTACAAATTCTCCGAGGAGGTGTGGGCACACGCATGTGCAGCACTGACGAGGCCACCTCGGGTCTTCCACACAGCCACTCCTAGTAGCCATGCAGAGGTGGCCGCTGTCCCTGAACACCAAGAACAACACCCCGAAAGCCCAGGGTGGGTGCTTCAGGGATGCCTTCCGGGAGATCTTTGAGAAGCGCTGTAAGGCCCAGTTCGGCAGCCCTGGCTGCGTAGCTCAGTTGGCTCGAGTGTCGTCCTGCTGCTGTGTGAGGATCGCAGGTTAGAGCCCCGGTCAGGGCACATAGAGAAACCAGCCAGCGAATGCATAAGTGAGTGGAACAGCACATCGATGTTTCTCTCTGTCTCTTTCCTATCTCTCTTTTTCTGTCTTCTGTCTCTTTCTCCCTCCCCCCATCTCTTTCATCCCCCCTTCCTCTCTCTCTACAATCAGTAAAAATTTTTTAAAATTTTAAAAAAGACCGAGTTAGGCAAGACTGTGATCTGGTGGTATGAGCACCGGCTCGTTGGTGGCATGGTGGCTCAGGCCCTCCAGCGTGTAGGCGGCGTTGTGTGGGCCTGCCAGAGCGATGGTGGAGGTTTGCAGCCGGACCTCCTGGTCTCCTGGCCTCCCTGGGGCCAACGCCATCTGTGCTGGCCTGCCCAGATGGGAAGACCATTGAGGCCCAGGCTGCTCATGGGACAGTCACCTGCCACTGTCAGGAGTGCCAGGAGGGCCAGCCTGCCAGCACCGACCCCATCATCAGTATCCTTGCCCTGACATGTGGCCGGGAACGCCAGGGGAGGCTGGACAGGAACCAGGACCTCGTTAGATTTTCCCAGGTTCTGGAGGAGATGTGCATTTAGGCAGCGGGGGTGGAGCCATGGCCAAGGACCTGGCGGGCCGCATCCATGATCTCAGCCACGCGCAGCCGAACCAGCACGTCCCGAGCACCTCGGGCTCCCTGGGGGCCATCTAGAGCAACCTGGGGAAGCCCGGGGCCAGCAGCAGCGAGGCGGGGAGCGTTGCCCGGCCACCGTGGGGGGCGCCTGTCCCGCGACACGCGGTGGAGGGTGAGCCTCACAGACCTCAGTAGGCTTTTCGAGGGGACATTTTTTACCAGCAGATATTTTGAAAAGTGTCCGCGCCTCTCCTGTCATGGTGCCGTGAGGGAGGGGCACCGTGTGCTCACCTCCGCCAGTCAGTGTGCTTGCACAACGTAATTTACGTCCCCCTTGGAACACGCGGTGCCGTGTGTAGCTACGGAAGTCCCTGCACACACAAAAAAGCTGCATGGGAATAACTGGTTTGGCAATGCACTTAGCAGGCTTTAAGGTATGCCGTTTCTATGGGTGATAAACAGGAAGAGACCAAATCGCTATTTACAAAACAAACTAAAAAGCACTTACATAAATAGAAGCATTTATTTATGTAAGAAGTATTTGTACTATAACTAGTGTATAATGGTGCTGCCATCTGAATACTGCCGTGGTAGGGTTGTGAGCAGTGGTCGGTTTGGGGGTGGTTCCATCATGTACAGTTTCAGCTTGTCTGACTCGCAAAGTGGGTTTTTGAAGTTAGTGGAGTAGTTACTTAAATTGCTCCTGGTTTAGTAAATTTATTGTTCTTTGTATTCTGTCTTTTCTCCCATAGCCTTTCTAACTCCATTTTGTATTTCCATATAGCTGCTTTCCTTCATTTTCCCTCTTTTGTTTTTTCCCCCTCCGAGACTAGGCCAAGATTAGCTGTAAGTTCATATGGTGAACACATATAATTCAGTGAAAGTACATAAACAGGTTGTGTACTTTGGATAGTAATTTTTTAAGTGGTGTTTTTTAGTTGAACATGCGGTTCACTTGCAAAGTTATATATTTGTAGGTTTTAGATCTTATAGCACAATACTGAAATTACCTTTTAGTTTTTTAACCATCTCTAGATACATGATTGAAAAGCTTAATCTTTTGAGTAGTAGTACCCTTTACTTCTAGTTGCTATTTTTGAGGTATATTTGGAGTGAAATTCGGCCCTTCTACACTATTTGCTATATACACATTATCTATGCATGTGATAAGTCATGCTGATTGGACTCCGCACTTTCATATTTTAGTTCATTACAGTTTGGTCTGGTGAATGCTACCTGATCCCTCTGTTCTGTGACTCTGTGCATCACAGGCCTGTCTGAAGACTTCCACGCCAAAGACTTTAAACCTTCCTCTGACCCGCCGTGTGTCATCGAGAAGCTCTGTTCCTTACACGACGGCCTAGTTTTGGAAGCGAAAGGAATCAAGGAGCATTTCTGGAAACCCTATATAAGGAAGCTTTGCGAAAAAAAGGTTTGTAATTGATGAAGAATAATGTGAACATATTTTCTGGGGGAAAGATTTGAATACGATGACTTAAGGATCTTTTCTTTCATCCATAGCTGCTTAAAGGAAAAGAAGAAAATCTTACTGGGTTTTTAGAGCCTACGAACTTTGGAGAGAACTTGTGAGTACTTTTGTGGAAAAAAAAAAACTATCTTAATATTTAATTGTGTGCTTAGGAAAACCTCAGGGTTTAGTGTTTTTGTAGTTTGTACCTTGGACATTAAGAATGTACTTTGTGGGAGATACAAGGAGCAATAAAAATTTCTATCAACTATTACTCTAAGATCATTTTTAAATTATTCATTAAAAATTGTATTGAGCCCTGCCTGGTGCGGCTCAGTGGATTGGAGCGTCGTTCCACAAACCCAAGAGGTCACAGGCGTGCTTCTCAGTCAGGGCGCATGCCCAGGTTCCAGGTTCGTTCCCCGGTAGGGGGCAGACGAGAGGCAACCTGTCCGTGTTTCTCTTTCTCACTGCAGCTTCTGTCTGTCTCCCTCCCTTCCCTCTCTAAAATCCATAAGCATGTCCTCGGGTGAGGATTAAAAAAAAGGTGTGCCGCTGTTCTTGAAAGCTTTAGTAGTTAAGCTTTTGGATCATCATTTTTGCAATAAAGAAATGCTTGTGGAGCTGTGCAGGTGGAAAATGACGTGGGAGAAGGGAGGCCTTCAAAGCCGCCTGGCGCGCGGCGCAGAGAACCACGCTTCCCGCCGGAAGCTGCGCTTCCCCAGGGGGCGTGACTCCCCAGGGGGCGTGACTCCCCAGGGGGCGTGACTCCCCAGGGGGCGTGACTCCCCAGGGGGCGTGACTCCCCAGGGGGCGTGACTCCCCAGGGGGCGTGACTCCCCAGGGGGCGTGACTCCCCAGGGGGCGTGACTCCCCAGGGGGCGTGACGCGGTGCCCCGCCCAGGCCCCCGTCTGCAGGGTGTGCTTCTGGGCGAGGGGGGCGCCCAGTGCGGCTGCTCCTCGGAGTTCACGCTCAACAGTGATCCCGCTAACGTCGAACTTGCACTAAATTAATAGAACTTGTAGGAAATAAAAATATGAAAGGATTAAGCGGATCGCCCCGGTTGGTGTAGCTCGGGTGGCTGGGCGTCACCCCGCAGAGGGGAAGGTCACTGCTTCGATTCCCAGCCCGGGCGCATGCCTGGCCGGCGGGTTTGGTTTCTGGTCTCTGGTCCGGGCCTGTGTGAGACGACCAGCCGATGTCTCTCTCTCAAACTGGTGTTCCTAGCCCTCTCTTCCTCCCTCCTTTTCCCCAAAAATAAAAAAATTAAAAAAAAAAAGGTCAAGTGGGCTACACCATGAACTGAAATGCCAGTCCTGAGTGTATGTTTTGCCTTTTCTTCCCGCGTCCTGTAGCAAAGCCATCAACAAGGCCTATGAGGAGTACGTCTTATCCGTTGGGAACTTAGATGAAAGGATATTTCTTGGGGAGGATGCCGAAGAGGAGATCGGGACGCTCTGCAGGTGTCTGAGTGGAGCCGAGGCCGCCGAGAGGGCGCAGGTGAAGAGCATCCTGCAGCAGCACTACGACAAGGTGGGGTGGGCCGGGCCGGGCTGGGGCGGCTGGGCCGGGCCGGGGTGGGGTGGCCGGGCCGGGCCTGTGGGGGCGCCGCCGCCGAGGTCCCGGCGTGTGTGTGTGCGGCGGTTGTGCGCGGGTCTTACCCGTTTCCGTTGTGAAAAAGAAAATCCCCCTTCAGTGAGAAAGTTCTTCTCAATTTTTGTGTGCTGATTTAATTACTGTCGACATTAACTTTCAAAGTTTTTGGCTAGATCTGAGAGAAAAGAGAATTTCATGCAAATTTAAGTGAACATTTCATGCTGATGATTGTTGGTTTGGAAACATGGGGCAGGAATTCACAAAGAGCCTTTACACGTTGGGAGAAGTGGGCGTTTAGAAGATGTTGGTTGGCCTGAGCAGATGCCTTTGTGTAAGAGAGTGGAGAAGCTGAGACTCCATGGGCCTGGAGATCCTGGTAAACCGAGGTTTGGGACCACGTGGCGCTGGTTCATGCAGACACTCAGGGTGGCGAAGGCTGAGAGTGTCCCTTCTGGTGCTCGGTCTCACGGAAAACATGCAGCTTCTGACCAGGGCCGCCAGAGGCAGTGTGGGTAATTCTGCGGGGTAACTCACCTGTGAGGTCAGGCTCCAGACTGGTTTGGTTATTCGTTCAACAAATATTCTTGACGTACTCCGTGTGCCGGCCAGATTGTGTTCTGCACCCTGGGGATGCTGAGGAGCAGAACAGCCAACAATGCCCTATTTTGTATTGTAGTGCGGGGAGGTGGACGGTGCATGACCAACAAGATAAATAAATACACGGTGTATCAGGTGGATGCTATTTATGAGGAAAAACAGAGAAACAGCACGAAGTACTGCAGAGAAGGGAGAATGCGTGGGCCTCGGGCGGCGCTAGGTAGGGTGGCGGGGAACGATGCCTTCGTGGAGGCAGAGTGAGTGAACAGACCTGGAGCAAGGGGGCGAGTCCGTGAAGAACTGCAAACCGTGTCTGGAGCCAGGAGTGCGGCGGGCGCCACGGCGCCCGGTGGGGACACGATGGGCGTGCCGGAGGGGTGGGCACGGAGCGGCTGCCGTAACTGGCTGCTGTGTGGGCTGATGGCCAGCGCCCTCCGCACCCCTCAGACTTCCTCTCCCTCTTACTCTGAGCATTTGTCACCGTGTGGTGGCTGGCAGGCAGGCAGAAAGAAAAGAATTGTCTGACAGTGGGGGGAGAGAGAGATGGAGGTAACTGTTTAGTTGTCTCCCTGCATGAGAATGTAAGCTTCACGGGGACTATGACCAGAACTGTATTCAGTGCTTGGCAGGTAGGCGTTCCATGAACACTTACTGTTAGCAGTTCTTGAGGGGGAAGGGCAAGTCTGGGGGAAGAAATCGAGAGTTAGGGTTAAGAGCATCTTAAGTTTGGGATGTCTTTTAGGCATCTTAGTGGAGAAGTTGAGTAGGCACTTTAGATGTGCAGGAATGAAGTTCTCTACAGAGGGGAGGGCCGTGTGTGTGTGTGTGTGTGTGTCCTGGGGCCATCGGACATGGTGGGACCTTGAGGACTGTGGTCCTTGTACCTCGTTTCCTTGGTGGAAGCACTGCCACCTGTAGGCCGGGCGGTGAAGTGCTGCTGGCTGCTGTTGCTTCTGGAAACGCCCTCCCAGCAAGGCCTTGGCTCCAGGGCAGGGAGGAAGCTGGCGGCGAGAAGAGTGGTCTGAGGCAGGGGGCAACCTCCTGAATGTAGTTACTCTCCCCAGATCATCTTACTGACCGAGAAAATGTGTAGAATTAATTTCTTTGAAACAAAGTGGAGGTCTTGACTCTACTGTTTAAGTGACAGAAAAAGCACACGGTGATCCCTCACCTATCGCGGGAGTCACGTTCCAGAGACCCCCGCGATAGGTGGAAACCCTCGAAGTGGCGGCGTTATGTTTATTATTTGTATATATTTTAAGGCGTTACAGACCCTTCCCACACGCCTGTAAACCTTTCCCACCCTCTCATTAACCTTTCCCACGCTCTCATAAACACTTCATATGCTCTTAAACACTGCCTTCACTCTCAAACCTGCGTAATTTTCACCACATAGAAAATTCTGCACTCACCAGTGAGGTGTACAGTCGTCCCTCGCTGTATTGCGGTTCACTTAATTGTGGCCTCAACTGTACCGCGGGCTTTTTAAAACAATAAGTGAACTTACAGTAAGTGAACCTCGGTATGGCGAGGGACGCCTGTGTTGACTGACTTTTGTATGGCTAACTTCTGTGCTTTTCTGTATTTCAGACTTGAATGGTGCCGTTGCCAGACGAAATCTTTGCTAGGTGTTTTTACAGCTGTCTCTAGAATAAAAACATTTAATCCATTGGGAAATGTGCTTTATCTTAAATAGTAAAAACACTCTTAAGCTATCTTAACCTTTAAGAGTTTGCTGGAAAAATTAGACAAGATATTTTATTAACGTATATAGTCATGCCTAAATGTGACATGAAGTCATGTATTTTTCATGCTTATATCCCAGAATGTTGACGTAAACCCACACGTGGAGGGCAGGCGCTGCGGCAGAGGTTAGGGACTGCGGGTGACGGGGGGTCGGGACGGCCCCCTGCGTGCGGCCGGGCCCTGCGCCCAGCAGTGTGTGTGTTCTGCCCTGTCTGTGGCGCCGGTCTGATCACCTACATGGACTGTCGTTAGATCACGGGTTTCATTTGGGCCAGGTTCATTTTAGGCTTTTTGTTGTTGTTGTTGGTCTTCAGGTATGTACAAAAATAATAGATGCTAGCTGTTTCTTAAAGATATTCTTAATTTTTCAATGCTTATTTTTGCCTTCATGCTGAAGTGTTAAGGGAGGGAGTGGAGGGAAATGCTCCTTACCGTAACGACTCGACCTGGAAGAGGCGGACGTTCAGTTAGCTCCAACACAGACTGCCCTTCCACGCGTCTTCACGGGAGAGCGGGCCTCTTCGTGGCGTCGTGTTTCCCTTCCAAGAAGGGCGATATTTGAAACACTGAGACTTGTTAGTAGTATACACATAGAGTCTGATCGCCTTCGATTCCCAATTGTGAAGGGATTGAAAGTCTTTCTGACCTAAAACAGTGTTCTTTCCTCCCCCGCGCAGGCCAAAGCTCTTAGACTCTCCGCGCCCCTCGCCGGCGGGCGGCACCCGAAGGACGGCAGCCCCTGCGCGGCCCCGGGCTCCACGGCCGCGCACAGCCTGGGCCGCCTCCACAACATGCTGGTGGGCCTGCGGAGCGTGCCCGGGGAGAAGCTGCAGCGGATCCTGCGGTGAGCCTCAGCCTCTCCCGCCTGCCAAGATTTAGCTGTGGCCTGCTCCCTCTTTTTTTGTTGTGGTCTTTCCCTGTTAGTGCCGTCGTTTACTCGTTAATGGTTTTGTGTCCGCTGAGTGCCGGACGGTAGTCAGTCCGCAGATGACATAGCTATACGGGGTGTGTGACCAGAAGGCGATCGTTTTCTCTCGGCGTCCTAGTCTGTTCGGGCTGCTGTGACAGACTAGCGGAGACGGGGCGGCTTCCAAACCACAGAAATGAATTTCTCGCAGCTCAGGAAGCTGCAAGCTCAAGTTCAGGGTGTCAGCAGATTCAGTGTCTGGTGAGGACCACCTCCTTGCGGCCTTTTTTCTGTGTCCTCACATGGCTGAAGGGGACCAGGAGTCTCTCCAGCGCGTCGTTTGTGAGGGCACCACCTCCACTCGGGGGCCTGCACTCTCGCAGCCTGGTCAGTTCCCAGATGCTGCAGCCCCATCCCGCCGGGGGTCGGGTGTCTACATGAACTTGGCCACTGGGGAGACGAGCCTGCAGCCCACAGCACTCAGGCGTTCTGAGCAGAGCGCAGGAGCCAGTAACTCCCAGCACCGGGCACCGGAGAGAGAGGCACCAGACTGTCTGTCACCAAGTGTTCCGTCCTGACGTTTCAGGGAGGGGGGCCAGTACGACGGTAGTTGTCAAGGGCGTTTACAGAGAGGACTGTGCCTGAGCAGATTTCTGGAGGGTGGGTCGTGTTTCAAAAGATGGACAGTTATATTCATAACCCATTTAAAACCACTGTAACTTTTGTAAACGCTGTAAAACACCCTTATCCTGAAAAGGGCCTTAGTCCTCACAGTGTGACTTGATGACACGGTCCCCATGGGAACCCACTTGATCTCAGGCGACAATGGCGTGTGGAGGCCCTGTCTACACGTGTTCGTGACGCCCCGCTCACGGGTGGGCCCGTTGCATACGGAGGCTGACCGACCACCCCACGGGCTGTGTCTGTATGGCCTTTTCCTAAGTCATGTTTTTAAAATGGGCCTTGTTTACTTAGAACACAGAAGCCCTTTATGAATACATTTTAGAAGCCCGATATAGTCTCTGTATCTTGCAAATCTTTTTACCATCTCTAACCAGATGTAGCAGCTTCTTTAACTTTAAATGCCATTAGTGATATTTAAATATCAGTAGATACTAGGAAAAACCAAAAGGTCCTATTTTTGTAAAAAAGCACCTGTGTAAGTTAATAAATAAAATTGTGCTTTTATATGATATTCAATAGCTATCTCCAGCAGGATTATAACTGATTTTTAATTTCTTTGTAATTTCCTAAACTCACTACATTTTTGCACTGAATATGTATGTTTATGATCAAGATAAACATAGTTGTTACAAAAGTCCACGTGGTGGTAATCTGTGTAATACTTCTGCATTGAACATAATTGCTTTTCAAGTTAAAAAAAAAAAAAAAACACTACCACCACCAGACAAAAAAACCCAATGAAATAAATCTGGTTTTGCAGGAAAGGATGTAGAATACCAGTGATGGTCTATATGAGTCTCTAGTATAGATCATATACCCACCCCTCCATCCTACTTTCTCCCAGAGTTTCAGTGGGAGTTGTGCTGCCCCTGGGAGACAGTGGGGAGAGGTTTTGTCCTAGGTGATTGCAGATGCGTAGGGTCGGGGGCCGGTCCTGGCACCAGGTGGGCACTGGTTAGGGCTGCTCAACTCGCTGCGGTAAAAGGTGTGACGTTACACAAGAAACTTTGCTCACTGAGAGGGGAGATCCCAGCACCTCAGCTGAGATGGTACGGGGCCCCCTGGATCAACCTGCAGGGTGTGTGGTTTGTGTCGTTGTGTTTTATATTTACAGGTTAGTAAAAACACAGAGTCGTAAACAGCTTATCACTTCATAACTTGGCAAGACCTTTAAATTAGATCATTTCTTATTTTTCTAGGACATGTTCTAGGGATCCAACCCAGGCTATTGCCAACAGACTGAGAGAAATGTCTGAAACGTATTCTCAGCATTCCCAGCCAGATGAGGATTCCAGTAACGCTGCCAAAGGTGAAGCCTGACACTGTCTCCGTTGTTCTCCTCTTGAGGGTTCACTGCCCGAGTCCTTCCCTGGTAACTGGGTCGGAAACACGAAGGAAAGATCTATGCTTTTAGATTGAGGGCTAGAATATGGCTAATTGTTTTTGTCAGCCAAGTGGTTTCTGTGTCCTTCACAATGAGAGAAATATTAGACTGATACCTTTATTGTGTTGATCTGGTACTTTTTTGGTTTGGAAAATCTTAGTTTTCATTTGTAGACCGGATATGAAATAGAGAGGTATAGTGATTCTTCCGAGTATTAAATTAAGAACGGGAACAGAGGACAGCTGTTGTCACGCTCAGATCTGCGCTAGGGGCCGTTTGACGGTACCGGCTAAAACCACGAGTACGAGTGGGCGGTGAACCTCCTGGCCTGGAGCGCCTCTGTTCAAACATACCCTCCCCCCAAATGTGCATCTTAATGGAATGATATTATAGTTTTTTGTGTGAAAATTTAATTTCACAGTTTTAGAAAAATAGAGCTTATTGTGAAAAAAGTAAAGAATTTCAGAGGCGACTGAAATGGCAGCAGTAGAAAGTGCATGCACTACGTTGTGTTGGTTTTAAATTTTATTTTGTGGATGAGGGGATGAGCTAAACCCTCGTTTTTCACACTATTTCTTTTCTTTGCATGTAATTATTGTTTTTTTATTATTCGTGCAGAAGTTGCCAGCAGACAGTTTCGTATTGCAGAGATGCTTTACTATAAAGTATTAGAAACTGTTATTGAGCAGGAACAAAAAAGACTGGGAGACATGGATTTATCTGTGAGTAAATAACCGACGTGTCGATCAGCACAGTGCCGTGTAGTTTTCTGTGGGCCCTGGCCACCAAAACAAAGCCCCAAACGAAACAGGCCTTTACTGAGGAAGGGCGATGATGCGTGGTTCTGAGGGAGGAGGACTGACTGGCGCCCGCGGAAGCCTGTGTCCCATGCTGTCACTGCCCGCCCCCGGCACGCAGAGCGCCACCACGGCAGGCCGGGTGTTCTAGCGCAGCGGCTCCCATGGGCTGCGGAGCGCTCGTCCAGGATTCAAACACTCAGGGTATTAAATAGCAGAGAGATTTTATTCAAAATGTAGCCTATGTAGCCTTACATTGAGTATTGACTATTTATTCTTTAGTTAGTATTGAATATTTGTAACAGATATTTAGGTAGGACTTTAACAAATATTCAGCCATTCCTCTTTGGCAAAGGTAATTATTTTTTCTAGATTTTACTAGTCGAGAAATGTAAATTGATTTTAAACAAGTGATATTTATTTTTAATTGGATCAAAGATTTATTTTTTTTAAAGATTTTATTTTTAGACAGGGAGGGAGGGAGAAAGGAGAGAAACATCATTCGGTTGCTCTTGCACGCCCCCTACTGGGGACCCGGCCTGCAGCCCAGGCCTGCGCCCTGACGGGAATTGAACCACTTGACCTTTCAGTCTTCAGGCTGGCTCTCGATCCACCGAGCCACACCGGCCAGGGCTCGAAAATATTTTTAATTAATTTTTTAAATAACATTCTAAAGAAAACTATAAAATTGACCAATAATTATTCTAATTCTTTGTACCTGTTTACGTGTGTGTGTGTGTGTGTGTGTGTATGGGGCTGTAGAAATTTAAAAAGCTATTTTATGACGAATTTTGTAACACATACAGAGGGATTATAAAACATAGCTTTAGTTTAGAAGTTGATAGTAAATGGATACCTGTATGCTCACCTAAGAAATTTATTTTAAAAAATTTTATTGTAGTAAAAGTTGCATAAAATTTACTGTCTTAAGCATTTTTAAGTGCAGAATTCACTAACACCATTCACAATGTTGTGCAACCCTCACCGCTCACTAACTGTCTTAAGGATTTTTTTCATCTCCCCAAACTGATGGTCTGTACCCATAAACAGTGACTCCCAATCTCTCCTCCCTGCAGCCCCTGGTAACCTTTGTTCTGCTTTTCTCTCTCTGTGAATTTACCTATTTTAGGTACATCATGTAATCACGTGACATTTGTTCTTTCGTGTCTGGCCCATTTCACTTAGCATGTTTTCAAGGTTCATCTATCTTATACCATGTATCAGAATTTTATTCCTTTTTAAGAATGAGTAATATATACCCACATACAACATATATGCACATGTTACATTCTGTTGATCCATTCCTCTGCTGATGTGCTTTTGAGTGTCCTCCACCTTCTGGCCATTGTGAACAACACTGTGAATGAGGCTATTACGGACACTGGCATACAAGTATCCACTTGAGTCTCTGCTTTCAGTTCTTTTGGGCACATGTTCTGGATCTTAGTCCCTTACCAGAAATATGATACGCAAATATTTTCAGTTCATTGATAGTATTTTCTGATACACAAAAGGTTTTAATTTTGATGAAATCTACCTATTTTTTGTTCTTATTGCCTATGGTTTTCGTGTCTACATAAATTTTTAATTCAAAAATAATAAATATGTACAATTTTGGAAAGTATATAAGGGGAAAACAGGGAAATGTGAAAATCATCTGTGATTGTGTTACCCCGAGTAAACGTGACTTTCGGTCCGCGACCATCTGGCCAGGTCACCTGCCGTCCTCCCAGCCGTCTCCGTACGCCAGTGGCCTTTCACTGCGAGCACTGTCGTGAGACGCCTTTCCACGTCCATCATCCTTCCTCAGGGCGCCTGAGTGTTGTGTGTGTTTTAGTCAGCGATGCGATCTCTTGTGTCAGCTGTATTGCATAATATGTGAGATCTTTGAAAGTTGCTAAAAAATGGACTGAATGCATCAAGTTAAGAAAACTTTTGTAAGAAAATGAGCACATACGTCTCATGAACCCAGAGAATAACTTGACTGGGTATGAAACGTTTTGTTCGAGTAGGCTAATGTTTCCAAATGTTAACTGTTTTACAGAACATTCTGGAACAAGATGCATTCCACAGATCACTCATGGCCTGCTGCCTAGAGGTCGTCACTTTTTCTTACAAGCCTCCTGGGAATTTTCCGTATATTACTGAAGTATTTGATGTGCCGTTTTATCACTTTTACAAGGTATTTTTAAAAATCTGATACTAAGTAGGAAATCATAGATGAGACTAACGCCTGTTGTCAGCCATCTAGTTCATTTTGATATTAAGTGCGTTTCTTCTCATTTTAATTACATGTTTAATAACCTCTGCTCTTCGGGGAGCAGAGAAAAAGTAGAGTCTTGAGAACTGTGTAAACTCTCCTACAAAGACCTATTCTCAGTGAAGCTTCACTTGATTCCTTTTATTTCATAGAGGCTTTGAGAATGCTTTCGTTTTATGAGCTCAGGGAGGTTTTTAAAAACTAGCCAACGTATCACTAGCTAATCTTGTCTCGCAATCTCTTTTTTTAGCTTTATGGAAGCTAAATAGTATTGAATGTGTCTTTCAGAAACAAAAATTCTCTTTCACATGAGGCACAGTGAAAGTTATGGCATTGATTGGGTAGTCGTTTCCTTAATTTAGTGTATGAATTTTTTTCGGATTCAGCAGTCAAAACATTTTTATAATGGCACATATTGAATGTTCACAGTTTTTTTAAAGATTTTTATTTACATATTTTTAGAGAGGGGAAGGGAGGGAGAAAGGGGGAGAGAGACATCGCAGTGGGAGAGAAACCCCGACCGGCTGCCTGCCCTGCGCACCCCGCCCAGGACCAAACCCGCAGCCCAGGTGTGTGGCCTAGCTGGGCGTCAGAAGGGTGACCTTTTGCTTCGCGGCACAATGCCCAACCAACCGAGGCACACCGGGCAGGGCTACAGTTTTTAAATATGAAATTTAAAGAGTTTATAAAGGAGAGGAAGAACAGCTGTTTCAAAATAGCACTATTCTTTAAAGTTGTAATTTTTTAATAAACTGTTGTACTTACATGTAAAAAAAATCAAATTTACCCATTTTTTATACTTAAACAGTTTTTGTAAAAAAAAATAGTAATCACGGTTAACCCAGGGCGTTTCTCGCTCCGCAGGTGATCGAGGTGTTCATCCGCGCGGAAGACGGCCTCTGCAGGGAGGTGGTGAAGCACCTCAACCGGATTGAGGAGCAGATCCTGGACCATCTGGCGTGGAAGGCCGAGTCGCCGCTCTGGGACAGGATCAGGGACAACGGCAACAAAGTTCCCACGTGCGAAGAGGTTCGTGAGCACGTCTTACCGTCTCTCTGCAGCGCAAGTCCGTCGGTGCCCAGTCTCTTCGGGACCCGAGTTCATGGGGACGGTTAGAGTCTTCCCTGGGCGGGGTGGGGGGGCAGCATCGGGGTTCACACGGTCCGGTCACCCCTGACTCCGCTCGGACAAGAGTCAGAAAGAACCTGTGATCGCCCCAAGTTTCCAGCGACAGAGGGAGACTCGGGTTCTGTCTCGATTTCTTAATCAGGTTCACGGATCTTAGAATGCTTGCTTTTCCAGTTCTCCAAGTCAGCAAGGAGTGTTGATTCACGTTTATTATCTACTTGCTAGGTTTTGAAATGTTTAAGCCTTCCAGAATTTACTTATTTACTTATTTAAGATTTTATTTATTTTTTAGAGAGGGAAAGGAGGGAGAAAGAGAGAGAGAGAAACATCAGTGTGCAGTTGCTGGGGGTCATGGCCTGCAACCCAGGCATGCACCCTGACTGGGAATCGAACCTGCGACACTTTAGTTCGCAGCCCGCGCTCAATCCACTGAGCCACACCAGCCAGGGCTGGAATTTATTTTAACTTTAGTGTGAAAGTGGAAAAGTCAGGCGATACGTGGAATAACTGATGAGCCAAGAAAGTTTTTTTGCCTTACATTATTATTGCACTCTTTGTTATGATGCTTTTTTGAATGCCGGCATTCCGTGTGAACGATTCCCTGCAGGTCATGCCGCCTCACAGCCTGGAGAGAGAGGAGCACGTCCGCGCTGCCAGCTCCCCTGCGAACCCCCGGAGGGGGGGTGACGGTCGGGCCGACGCGGGAGCGCTCGGGAGAAGTGAGTCCTATTTAAAACAGCAGGGCATGTCTTTGAAAGCCCAGTATCTGAGGGTATAAAGTCCATCTAAATCTGCAAGTGAAGTTCACAGGGCCTAGATAGAAGAACATGTCCCGTATGTTACAGTGCCATGTAATGCTTTTGAAGACTCTAAGAACACAGGGAAATGCATGGTATTACAAGTGTCTTTTTAAAAGGCATACTCTATATTATTGTTTCCTATTTTTAAAGGGTATGTTTTTATATTTTTAATTATTTTACCACAATTTAAACATATATTTACCAAAACCATTGAATTATTAGTTTTGAATGGGTGAAACGTATGAGAATTCTCTCTCAGTAAAGGTGTTTAAAAAAAGAAACAAAGCTTAATTCAATCTAAAACAAGTTATGTCCATTCTTTCTGGAAGACATTACTGAGTTTTAGTAATTTCCTTTTTTTTTTTTAATTTTACTTATTCCTAGAAGATAAGGGAGGGAGAGAAACATCAATGGTGCAGGAGATACATCGACTGGTTGCCTTTCACACGCCCCCAACTGGGGACTTGGCCCACAACCCAGGCACATGCCCTGACTGGGATTCGAACTGGCGACCTTTCAGTTTGCAGGCTGGCACTCAGTCCACTGAGTCACACCAGCCAGAGCGAGTTTTAGTAATTTTCTGTATGTGGACAAAGACAAAGGTTCATAAAACTGGGGGAATAAATGCTTGCAGATGGCACCACAGGAATATCAAGGCCATCAAGTCCCCTTCTCAAGTAGTGGGTTTCTGGTAAAGTCACATTTTACCCGGGTGTTAGGTAGAAACTGAAGACGGTTGGAAATAATCATGAAGAAATAGAATACGTCAAATTGCCCCCACCCCTCCAGACCCCGGAGCAGTGGAGGACAAAGCCAGGTTTGACTTAGCAGAGGGCAGAGCGAAGGAGGGAGCACAGTGAGGTCTCTCTTTACATTTCGCTCCTAATAGCGTGCACTGGAATCTTTACTACTTGACTGCAGCTATGATGTGACTCCTGTGATTTTTGTTTGTTCTTAAATTAGGAAGCATTTCACACACTCGGTAACGCACCCTAACAGCAGCTGGGTGGAGGGCAGCTCTGCCTCCCCGAGTTCAGTGGGTCAACTTTTCTCCGCCCTAGGCGTGGCGCCGGCAGGCGCGGGGTACGAGCGGCACGGCGGGCCCACGCTCAGCTCCACCAGGAGACGGCTGTTTGTGGACAACAACGACGGCCCCTCCGACCGAGGGACGCCGGCGCGCGCGGCTCCGCAGCCCCTGGTCAGCGCCGTCCCCGTGCAGAACGTGCCGGGGGAGGCTGTTCCTGTCACACCGGTTCCGGGGCAGACTTTGGTCACCATGGCAACAGCCACTGTCACGGCCAACAATGGACAAACTGTGACCATTCCTGTCCAAGGTGAGCAAGGCGGGGTTGGTTCATGAGTTTTTCTGTGGCATGCACTAGAAAGTTACCCAAGATTTGGCTGGAGCGAGGCTATGAAACAAGCGTTTAGCCAGGAAGGGTGTTGGGGGGACAGGAAAGGGGAAGCCCTGCCCGGAGAGCCCCGTACCGTCAGCGATCCCCTGTGCCGTTCTCTCCGTGACCAACTGCAGGCATCGCCAATGAAAACGGAGGGATAACGTTCTTCCCCGTCCAAGTCAACGTGGGGGGACAGGCCCAAGCCGTGACCGGCTCCATCCAGCCCCTCAGTGCTCAGGCCCTGGCTGGGAGCCTGAGCTCTCAGCAGGTGACAGGGGCAGCCGTGCAAGTCGCAGGGCAGGTGACCATTCAGCAGATGCCCCCAGGCGGACCGCAGCAGAAACAGGGGCCGGCTCCGACCAGCAGCAGCGGGAGGCCCCGGAAGACCAGCTCGTTATCACTCTTCCTGAGGAAGGTAAATGTCCCCGTACCTCTGCCAGGTCATGAGCTCGGGGACTGTGTCAGATAAACCAAGTTCAAAATGTATTTGTTTCTCCGCTAGGTGTACCACTTAGCAGGGGTCCGCCTTCGGGATCTCTGCCTTAAACTGGATATTCCAGACTCTCTGAGGATGAAAATCTGGACCTGCTTTGAATTCTCCATAGTGCAGTGTTCCAGACTCATGATGGACAGACATCTGGACCAGTTGTTGATGTGCGCCATTTACGTGATGGCCAAAGTGAGTACTCGGGGATAAAGAAAGAAGATGCCACCTCCTCACTCTCAGAGCATTTCTGACAGCCTTGCTGAGATAACAGGTCCCAGCCCGTGTAACTCGCTCATTCAGACGGACTCAGTAGACTTCAGGGCATTTGCAGTCTGTACAGCCATCACCGCAGTCGGTGTATTTTCCATTATATGACTGCATAGCATTATTATCCATTTTCCAGTTAATGAATTATTTCCACTTTTTGGCTATTCGTGAACATTTGTGCACAGGTTTTTGCACAGATGTTTCCATGGAAGTGTGGGTCTAGGGGTGGACTGCCAGGTCATAGGGTAGCTCTGAGTTGGCCACTGAGGAGCCAGCAGACTGTTAGTAGTCACTGCGCTGTATACACTCTCACCGGCTGCTCTGCGTTCTCATCGGCACGTTATTATCAGACTTTGCTTTTTAAATATTCAAGGTAGAATACATGTAACAGAGTAAGCCATTTTTAAATGAACAATTCACTGGTATTTTGCACGTTCAGTGTTACATATCCACCACCTCTATCTAGATTCAGGCACTTCCACCCCTGCAAAGTGAAACTCCTTACTGATTCAGTGACCTCCCTCCATTCTCGTCCTCCTTATTCCTGGCGACCTCCCTCCTGCCTTGTCTGTGCATCGGGTGGTTGTAGGTGCCTCACGGAAGAGGAATCGTGCAACATCGGTCCTCCTGGGACTAGTTTGTTAGTAGCATGTCCTCTAGATTCACGTATATGAATGAGTGGTGATTTTCTTTCAAGGCTGAATACTCCTTCACCGTGTGGATATATTTCATTTTGTTTATCCATTGATGGACACTTGGGATGTTTCTACTTTTTGGCTATTGTGACTCATGCTACTATGAACATGGGGATAAAAGTCTTCAAGTATCTTTTTGAGTTTTGGTGTCAGTTCTTTTGTGTATACACCCAGAAATGGAGTTGCTGGCTCCTACGTTATTTCTGGGTTTAATTTTTTGAGGACCGCCATTCTTTTTGTCACAGCAGTGCATGAGAATTCCAGTTTGTCTGCGTCTTGGCCAACTTGTTTTCCATTTTATTTTTAAAGATTATTATTTTTAGAGAAAGGTGGGGAGAAAGAGAGGGAGAGAAACATCAGTATGTGGTTGCCTCTCACAAGCCCCCTACTGGGGATCTGGCCCACAGCCCAGGCATGTGCCCTGGCTGGGAATTGGACCTGTGACCTTTTGGTTTGCAGGCCAGCGCCCCATCCACTGAGCCACGCCAGCCAGGGCACCGTATTTTTTTTATTTTAGCCATCTCAGTGGGAAATAACTGGTACCGTGCTGTGGTTTGGTTTCTATTTCTAATGACTAATGGTCCTGTCTTTTTTTGTATTTGTTGACTGTTTTCTGAGTTTCTGGGGCTGGCCATCCCAGTGGGTATGAAGAACTGTCTCACTGTGGTCTTTCCATTTCTCAGATGATGAATGATACGTGGAGTCTTTTTTCATTTGCTTACTGGTCATTTGGATGCCTTTGGAGAAATATGTGTAAATCCTTTGCCCATTCTTGAATTGGACTGTTTGCTTTTTGTTGTCAAATAGTAGGAGTTCTTATATATTCTGGATGCAACTGCCTTATGAGATACATGTGAGTTGCAAATATTTTCTCTCATTCTATGTTATCTTTTCACTTGACAGCATTATTTGATGCACTAAAATTTTTAATTTTGATGAAAACTTTTTTGCTGCTTGTGCTTTTGGTGTAATGTCTGAGAACACATGGACAGATCCAAGGTTATAAAGGGTTATCCTGGTTTTAAGAGTTTTGCTGCTTGATTTTCATTCATTAAACCAACCTTGCCTGCATTCCTGGTGTAAAGCTTTCTTGGTCATAGGATCATAATACATAGGGAAGGGTTCCTTCTCTATTTTGAAAGAGTTTGTGGAGGATTGGCATTAGTGCTTTAGATGTCTGTTGGAATTCAGCGGCCAAGGCTCAAGAGCCCACGTTTCTCTTCGTGGGCAGTTTATTGACAGAGGATTCTTTTTCTTGTTGTAAGTCCATTCACATTGTCTGCTGCTTCTAGAATCACTTTTGGTAGTTTGTGTCTTTCTAGGAATTTGTCTATTTCCTCGGGGCTAATTTGTTGGAGCACAGTTGTTCATAATATTCCCTTATAGTCTTTTTTTTTCTTTATCAGATTTTCTTAGTAATTTGAGTCTTCTCTCTTTGACATTTTATTATGAAATATCCCTCTTTAGTAACTTTTATTTTCTCTCAGCAGCTTTCATTGTGTATTGCTGCCAATGACAGTCACAGTGTAGCATGCTCTCCATCGGTTCTCCAATCCCTAGAATTTACTTATGACTGAAGCTCCTACCTTTTGACCATCTCCCCACTTCCCCGAACCCCTACATACACGTACATCTTCAGCTTCAGTTTTATACTAACTTAATTCCAGTGAGATGTTCAAGTGTTACTTCTAATAGCTGTTTCCTCTTCATCCTTTTGTGGTAGTATTATAATACATGTAGTATCTGCAGACGTCATCGGTTCAGCAATGCGCCGTCACTGTATATGATTTGACTTTGAAAGGAACTGAGGGAGTACAGCATGACAGTATAAATATTGATTTAAAGCTTCGTTATTTGAGCTTACCATTTCGGACTCTCGTCACTGGTTGCTGTGGCTGTGAGCTGTCGCGTGGAGGTGTCCCCTGGGTCCCGCCCTCTTGTTCGGGCGGTGTGTGGCGCAGTCCGTACTTCCAGGCGACAGGGTGACAGGTCCATCGATGCGTTCCACACGTACTGCTCCGTAGGCTGTGAGAGGCAAGGAGACGTTCTGTACTGCCTTCAGAGTTACAGAATTATCTCGACTGCTGTTTTGTTTTTCTGTATTTGAGTTACCATCTGGAGGAACTTTCTTTAGTATGTCCCTTTGCTGGAGACCGGGTTCCCCAGCCTTTGGGCACGTGGGATGCCCCCACTGCTTCTTGGCCGCCCTGGTTTCTGCTGAGACATCGTCTGTCATTTCACTGGGTCCCTAGTAAGTGAAACACCGTTCTGTTCCTCCAGTGAAGTTTCTGTGTTACTGTCTGCCTGGTCCCAGGTCCTGGCGCAGACGCGTGACTCCCTCTGGTGTCGCTGCACGTCAGTGGGTTTCAGTAGAATGTCTTCATCTATTGTGTGCCCCCGGGGCCGTTTGCAGAGACTCTGAGGGGCTGGTTTTAAATGTAGTTTTCACCAGTTTCACCGCGGAGCAAGTTGATAGTGTTCTCCAGAGTACGCTGCCGAGAGTCAGTTCCTCTCACAGAACGCTCCTCCTCTCTTTTCCAGGTCACCAAAGATGACAGGTCCTTCCAGAACATCATGCGCTGTTACAGGACGCAGCCACAGGCCCGGAGCCAGGTAGGACACTTCCTCTCGGGGCTGCAGATAAAGCTTCAAGTCCTCGACGGGTACAGAAAGTTAGCCAGAGCTGATCTGCAGCCTTCTCTCCGGGCTAACTGAGTGAGACTTTACTCTAAAGGAAGTCCTTAGTTTAAGTCCTGTTTTCTCCGAAAGGTAATGATATGAAGTGATTGACATCTAATTAGGAAGTTGTTTGGTTTCTTGGTCATCTTTCTGTCTGCTTTAGGAAACATAGCATATTTTCTCAAATTTTAAAACTGACTTTACCTCTAATGCTATTAAAGAGGTAGGTGTGTGAGATCTTTGTATCTGGCTTAGAGTGACTTCAGGGCATGGTTGGGTGCAACGACTTCTCTGCTGTACTGTGGGCGGTACTTGGAATTCAGGCCAGACAGCCCCAGGTATAAACCCTGAATCTGTTACTTGATACGTGACCTTGGCTGCATTTATTAACCTCCCCGGTGGAGGATAAATATTAGACATGGGGTCGTTGTGAGAATTAAATAACATGTCAAGGCCATACAGCCTAGGATGCACTCACTAAATACTGATTTCTGTCCCCTCGTCCTGCCTCCCTAAAGATCTACAGAAGTGTTCTGATCAGGGGGAAGAAGAGGAGGGACTCCGGCGGCAGCGACAGCAGGAGCCGTCAGGACTCTCCGACAGAACTGAAAGACAGGAGTGAGTGGGACCCTCAGGGAGGTGCGCACGATGAATCAGGGGCTTCTCTGATCTTTCAGGCCTAGACAACTGGGGATTACTAAATGAAATTACAAAGGAGACTATTTTATCGGCAAAGAATTTGCTGGAGTAATAAACAGAATTCTGAATTTAGTGGCGAAGTTGTCTGTCCTCCCATAGCTCTGTGGCAAACCGTGCAGAACACTTGTCCTCCTGGGGTTAGGGAAGGTTTCGGGCAGGAAGGCGGCTCGTCCGAGTCCGGCGTGTGGGCTGAAACCACGCCGTGGAAACACCACCCCTACCTGTTTCTTTGCACCATGGAACGCAGGGCTCGGGTCCCAGGAAACTCGCTGGAACCTGCTAGTGAACACTCTCGGTGTGCCCTTCCTCCCTCTGTGGCCTGGGCGTGACATATGTACTTCCTGTCGCGCCTGTGCTCTGCCCCCTCACGCGAAGAGGCGAGTGCCCATGTGCTGCCGCTGCACAAGCGAGCCAGTAGCCGTTGGTCCGCGCGCGGCCGACCTGGTCTCGGAAGCAGCCGCCCCGGCGGCCTTCCGCCTCACACCTCTGCCCTCCCGCTGCAGCCAGCAGAGACTCCAGCCCCGTCATGAGGTCCAGCAGCACGCTGCCCGTCCCGCAGCCCGGCAGCGCGCCGCCGACGCCTACCCGCCTCACGGGCGCCAACAGTGACGTGGAGGAGGAGGAGAGGGGGGACCTCATCCAGTTCTACAACCACATCTACGTGAAGGATATTAAGGCGTTTGCCGTGAAGTACTCAGAGGCAAACATAGTAAGTCTGAAGGGATCGTTCCCTTTTTTCCTTCACTTGAGAGGGATGGGGATCACTTCTCTCTGAGCCGCTCCGTCTGTAAGCTACTCTTACAAATAATCCTCTTGTTGAGTCTGACAAGTGATTTGACTACTACAGTCTGTCCTGCTGGGTAGCACCAGACAGGAACACGATGGTGGCTGGGTCCCCGCAGAGGCGAGGACAGTGCGAGCGAGGAGGCGTGGGTCCCGGCTGTCCCGCGCTCCGCAGCTGTGGTGCCCGTGCGGGTTCCCTGGCTCTGTGCGCCCTCTGTTCCTCCCACGTGAGACGGGCGTGGGGGCGGCCCCCAGCTCACCGGGTGGGTGTGAGGCTTGCACGACGCACTGGACTGCAAACGCCTGAGAGTGTGACTGGCACCAAGTGAGCACTTATGTGTTTGCTGTCGCTGTTCACCATTCAGCAAGCTAATGATTCATTGCATCTCTCACCTCTTACAAGAAAAATGACCATTTCACAAAATACCTGGCTAGAACTCCCATTCAGCTTTCTAAGAAACGCTGATTTTTTTCAACAGGCGGATGCGCCTCCGCTCTCGCCCTATCCGTTCCTAAGAACAAGCTCCCCTCGCCGGATCCAGCTGTCTCAGAACCATCCTGTCTACATTTCCCCACATAAAAATGAAACAACACTTTCTCCTCGAGAAAAGATTTTCTACTACTTCAGCAATAGTCCCGCAAAGGTGAGCCTGACCTACATTCTGGCTTTTACTAACTCCAGAGTGCTTAAGATTCTAGAAGCAGGATTGATGGGAAAGTGCCAGGGGGAAACGACCAGTTAGGTCCTGGCTGATGCAGCTCAGTGAATTGAGCACCGGCCTGTGAACTGAAAGGTTGCTGGTTCGATTCCCAGTCAGGGTATGTGCCTGGGTTGTGGGCCTGGTCCCCAGTTGGGGCCATGTGTGGGGGGCAACAGATCATGTTTCTGTCCTTTTCTCCCTCCCTTCCCTATTCTCTAAAACCAGATAAATATAAAACTAGATAAATAAAACTCTTAAAAAAAAAAAGTGACCACTTAAGTCCTAATGGAGCCAAACCAGGCATGTCCCTTGGCTGGGAATCGAACCTATGACCTTTTGGTGTATGGGAGGATACTCCAATTGACAGAGCTCCGGCCAGGGCAGGCCTGTGTTCTTAAAAGATGTTATATCGTGAAGGAAACTATAAAGACACATGACAGCCAAATGCAACGGATGCTACATAAATACTCAACTATATAGGGCATATTGGGGACAAGTGGAAAAATTTAACATGGACTTCAGTATTAGTAATTCTGCAATTTCTGTTAAGTTTCTTTGGTATTGATGATGGTACTGGGTTACGCAGGAGAAGATACTTGAAGTACTCAGAGGTGAACTGTTCCAATGTCAGTAACTCACTTTCAGATAGTTCAAGTAAAAGATTACAGAGAGAACAAATGACATAAATGTGATAACTCCAAATGGGTAATCAGTATACTATTTGTCCAACTTCTCTGTAAGCTTGAAATCTTTTAAAATAGAAGTTGGGAAAACAAGTAAAACAAAAAATCTGTTAGAAAATATAATGGGCCCTGGCTGGTGTTGCTCAGTGGAGTGAGTGTGGACCTGCAAACCAAAGGCTCACTGGTTCAGTTCCCAGTCAGGGCACATGCCTCGTTTGCAGGCCAGGTCCCCAGTAGGGGGCGCACAAGAGGCAACCACACACTGATGTTTCTCTCCCCCTCTCTTCCCCACCGTTTAAAAATACATAAAATCTTAAATATATATATTTATATATAATGGAAAAACTTTTCATGAAATAGCAGCAAAGTATCACATGCCTTATAATTTATCTTTGCAGAAAAATTATTTAACCTGAATTAGATTTTAAAAGACTGGAATAAAAGATATGTAACTAATATTTCTGAATAAGAAGATGAAATATTAAAAAATGGAATTTCTTCCAACTATTGCATAGGTTTACTCTAATAGTCCCAAAAAGCAATTGGAGTTGGATGAAATGACTAATACTTCCTTTAATATTAGATTTTCATCTGATAACCACAAATTCCACCATCAACCACAAGTAGATTGAAGAGTTAAATGAAAAAAAAAATACTCATTTCAAAAGAAGGCTGAAAAAGGGAAGAACATACAGGAAAAAAGCAAACAAATAGCAATTAAATGTAAATGGTCTAAATATACCAATTAAAAGGTAGAAACCGTAACATTGGGTGAAGACCTATTTGTTGCTTATATGTAACACTTAAGTATAAAGACACGTAGTTTAAAGGGTAATAACACAAATATCCCATCAAACGAACACATAAAATGTCTGCATGCGATGAAACAGCACTCCGACACAGAAGCACTGCCACGTGCTGCGAAGTGGGTGAACCGTGGAAACACCGTGCCGAGTGCGAGAAGGCAGGCACCAAGGGTAAATGTTGCACGATTCCATTTGCAGGGGACATCCAGAGTGGGCGCACGCACACCACAGAGGGCAGACTAGTGACGGCCTGCTGTCGGGGGGAGTGAGGGTTCCTGCCGATGGGGACAGTTCCCTTGTGGGGTGACGAGAAGGTGACGGGTGTGGTGGTGGCAGGACCCTGGGAGCGCGCTGAAAGCCCTGGGTTTGTGCACTTCAAATGGCGGAGTCACGTGGTATGTGAATTATATCCCAATAAAGCTGTTTCGTTTCCTTTTAAGTAAAAGGATAGAAAAAGTTGTACTCCGCTAACACTAATCAAAAGAAAGCTTGGGGTGCTATATTAGTATCATTAATATTAGTATTTGAAGAGTAAATAAGAAGGGATTTCCTAATGATAGGATATACAATCCTAAATAGAAAAAAAAAAGTAGTCAAGAGTTTCACATGATTGATAGAACAAGTAGAGAGAAAATCAGCGTGAGGTTCTTCAAAACATGACCATCATCAACCGACGACTCACGGACACCTGTGGGACACTGCAGCGGCACCAGGGGCACGTGGGATGCTTCGCCAACAGACTGCGTTCTGGGCCATGACACAAGTCTCAGTAACTGTACAGGGGTCAAATAATCTCTTTTCTGACCACAGTGGAATCAAATTAGAAATAACATATTTGGAAAGATATCTGGAAAACTCCCAAATTTGGGGGAACTAAATTGCATAATTCTATGAGTCTAGGAAAAAAAGAAATTGGAAAGTATTTGGAACTACATGTAAACCTAACAAAGCACTCTTGCTGCATTCCACAAACGGTGCTAAGGCAGGAGCTGACAGCACTATATTAGTACCTACATTAGAAAAGAAAGGTCTCAAATTATGACCTAAGCAACTAGAAAAAGAGTAGGCGTCGATGAAAAATACCTTAAAGCAGAGAAAATTAAGGCTATTGAAAGTTAAGGGTTTTTGTTTTGTTCTCAGAAGATAAAATTTGCTATGTCTCTGTACAGACTAAGCAGGAAAGACATGTTATCAGTATCAGAAATGAGAGACACCAGTACAGGCCCTACTGACATGAAGAGTCTAATGATGAAAACCGCCTCTGTTCCAGTGAATGTGATAAGTTCAAATGTACCGATTCTTTGAAAGACAAACTTCCAAAACACTCAGAAATAATCTTACTACCCCCATTATTTTTTAAACAATCCAACATTCCTTCATGATAAAACTCTCAGATTTCCTCAACCTGATAAAAATGTGTATTTGAAAAATCCATAGCTAACATCATACATAACGGGGAAAGACAATGTCTCCACTCTGAGACCAGGAGGAAGGCGCGGGTGGTCTGCTCTCACCACCGCCGTTCGACACGTAATTGTGGGCCTGGGCACAGAAAGTACGGCAGGGCACGGCAGGGCAGACGCACCGATGTCTGCATGGGAAAATCACAGCACCTACAAAGAGGTACTGGAACCAGGAAGATTATAAAGGTTGCATGATTGATATGCAAAACCCAAATGATTTCTATAAACTAGCAATGAGTAATTAGAAGTAAAAGAACTTTTAAACATTGTAAACAGCATTAAAAAATGAAATACATGCAAGTCTGATAAAAGATGTGTCTAAGACTTGTGTCCTGAACACTACCGAGTCTTGGTGAAAGAAATTAAAGACCAAGAAAATGGAGAGATACATATATTCACGAATTGAAAACAATTATCAAGATCTCCATTTTTTCCCACTCGATCTATAAAATTAAACCTAATTCCTATCAAAATTCCAGCAGATTTGTATAAATTACCTGGTGCCAAAACTTACATGAAAATGCACAGGAACTAGAATAACTAACACAATTTTAGAAAAACTTGAAGCATTCACACTGATTTCAAGATTTATTGTAAAGCTGTGGGATTCAAGACAGTGCGGCGCTGGGGAAAGCGGACCTCCAGGTCGACCCGGCCGCCTGGAGCCCGGGCATGGACCACACGGCGTGGGGCAGAGGGCGTCGACAGTTGTGAGTACGCCAACACAGTTTACTCCTGTATTATTTATTCTTTTGTTATTTTCTATTGAAACTGTCGACCTCCTTTGCCCCACCCTGTATATGGCCAACTGGCTTTCAACAAACATGCAAAAGCAAGTCCCTGGAGAAGGAACAGTCTTCTCAACAGAAGGTGCCGAGGCCGTGACACAGACGTGCTGTGGAACGCTGGCGGCGGGCAGAGGCGTAGGGAGGTCTGAGACACTTTCTCGCACCAGTGCATGCGACTGCTCAGTGCGCTTTCCCGCAGAAAGTGTAGACAGTGAAGCAGCACATGGGAAAAATTTTCTTAACCAAAAAAAAACCAAAACTACCAGGAAACAATGTGATAAACTGGCTTCTGGGGCTTTGGAGAAACTTCATGCTGAAGGCACTGAAGACAGACGCAGTCTCCAGCACTCGGCAGTGTTCTCTCGGTTCTCCCAAGGACAGTCTGTGACTGTTACACTCTGGACCGCACCAGTCAGTCACTTGCAAGGATGCTGTAGGGAACTCAGGCTGGCTTCTCTTGTGCAACTCCAGTGGAGAAAGGCTACTAGACTGAAAAAATTGGAACTGATTAAATATGGCATAGAGATGTCATGATCTGTGACTTGTAAAAAGGACTCAGACTTGTTCCCTCTTACGTTCTGGGAAAAGTACATGAAATGACCCCGGAGCTTGCTAGGAAAAGGAAATGCTCTTCCTCCGCCCCAGCCAGCCAGCCACCAGTCTCTGCCGGCTGGGAAGTGAGATTGGAAGGCTGTGAAATTTAGTTGTTTTCTTCACGAAGATGTTCAGACTCGTTGCGGTAACTCTTACACTTAACTCATCTGCGGTACTTCGCCTCAACACTGAGTTTACATGTATTAGCATCTTAAAGTTCGTGTATCTGTTTTCCCTCTAGAGACTGAGAGAGATTAACAGCATGATACGGACGGGAGAAACTCCAACCAAAAAGAGAGGGATTGTTTTAGAAGATGGAAGTGAATCGCCTGCCAAAAGAATTTGCCCGGAAAACCACTCTGCCTTAATCCGCCGTCTCCAAGACGTAGCTAATGACCGAGGTGCCCACTGAGGTTAGTCTGCTGCATTGACCCTCTTTTCACAAACTGTTTCACAGCATCATTTAATGCATGCTAGATTATGGGGCTCTTTTTCTTAATCTTTCCAGTATCCTTATTTTTACTCATCTCGTCTGCCTTTTTTCCTACCACTCAGTGCTTGCCATCAGTGCTGCTTAGAGTCCAAACTGGGATCTTTAACTCTTTGGCAGAGCTTTCACAGGTACCGTAGAGCACCCAGCATGCTGGCGCAGTGTGCGAGGTCTCTGGGGGCCTTGCTCCGGCAGTGAAACGTTTCAGTGCATTCCCACCTGTCGTGTGGTCTGCTCTGGCTCTCATGAAAAGCAACACAGAGACTAGGTATCTTGTTCCAAAACACCTGGTAGGAGTGTGAGAAGTTTGCATTTTTGAAGCATTAACAAGGGAGCCCAGGCTCCTGGCCCCGCCCCCGTGTGCTCCCCCCTGCCGTGTCAGGTGTGGTGGTGCAGTGTGACCGTGCTTGGCTGTGTGGTGTGTGACGTGTGAGTGAACGTGTGTACGAAGTGGCACTTTAGGGCTGAAAAAGCATGACTCCGTAACCCAGGTTTTGCTGTGTATTGTGACGGCACTTTCTACAATGTGAACTTTATATTAAGTACAAAACCTCTAGGCTAAATACTCAGTAGCTTCTTTGATGCTTTTGTACTTTTTTAAAACTATTAAGCGCCAGTAGCCACCTTTGGGGCATGTATTTTAAATTCTCCAATTCCCGCCCCCCGCATTAATAGGGATCAGCCAGCTAAGTGAAGATTTAAAATCAAGTTGAATTAAGGGAATTAATATTAAAAATTACAGCCTCTTATAGGAGGTAGTTATCCAAAAGACATGTGTCTACTAAGGTGATATATTTTAAAATACCTTTGAGTGTGTTCCTGGCTTTTAAAAGTTTAGGTTGGACAGTTTAGGTTTTCATGAGTATATAGTACCACTCATACAAATTAGAAAAGGTTATTTAACAGTTATTGAAAGTATCTATATATACCTTTATTAGTCAGTATTGTTCCAGCAGTTTTTAAGTTGAATGAATAACTTTTTTAGGGAGAAAATTCAATTGTAAATTGAATCAGTATAAACAGTTACTAGGTAACTTCATACTTGCTCCAAAAGAAATATGGAACTTACACTGTTCAGTTAGAATAGTGTTCTGCAAAAATATTTATAAAACCTCTCCAGATATTTACTGCTACTGTAATTTTATATGAAAATAAGTGTATTTTTCAATAAAGCATTTATAAATTAATCTTTGTTTAGTTATACTGAGAAAAGGGTATTTAGTTTCCTGCATAAATGACAAAGAACCATCATTTATTGGTTTATTTTGTCTCTACAAAACACATTAGTCATTCGTTGCTTAAATATCTGACTTCATTAGAAACCGTTTTAACACTTTTTCTCCCTCCTGCCACAAAAATACAGTAAGTAATTTGCTTTAAAAAAACAAACAACTATGAACAAACGTTCTGGTCTCTTCTCACTCACCTAATGCGCACCTCAGTGACAGCAGCTTGTAAAGTAGCAGAACAGCAGGCTGGAGGCTGAGGTTCAGGTGCTCTTCCACCTGAAAGTGCTAGTACGCTCTGGCCCTGCTTCCTCCGGGCCCTCCCTCTCCACACCCCAACAACGTATGTACAGCTGACACCGCTGATTCGAAAGTCATTAGATAGCGCTAAAGTCTGTCTACCTCATTAGTTTTAAATGAATGCCACTTACCTTTAGCTTTACATTCAGAAAAATACTTAAGCCTCAATGTCCCCAAGAATCTGGAGTACTGAACTAGATCACCACCCTAAGACACTTCTGACAGAAGTAACGCGTTACTGGAGAGGTCTCTAGAACTTGCCGTTAGAACCTAAGCGCGCACGGACCACACTGGTGTCAGTCCCGTTCACAGAGTTTTACTCCGCGGCAGTCCCGGCCGCTGGTCAACTGGAACCGGGCCCGGGGCCGCGGGAAAGTGCACGGTGCACCAGCCTCTCCAGCTCTTAAGTGGCTCCTGTTTTCTCTTCTTTGCTGAAAGGCTGCACTGAGCCGGGCTTTACCCACGACAGGCCAGCGACATGAACACTTTTACTGTGTTGTTCTTCAGGTTTCTAGGCACAATCAAAATGAAAATCAGAAAGTGACTGATGATGAGATTCCAGCCCTGTACAAGCGTGTTTCCCAAAAAGCTGTCTGTGTAGAACGAGAACTCCCCAGGGAAGACACTTTAGAAAGCAAAGCAAATAGCGAGTTAACTAGTCCAACAATGGCTATCTACTTACTTTCTGAGTCAGCATCTTCTCTCTGGCTTCGTCGTGTACAGCAGGATTCCATGGGGAAAAGCTTAAGGAAGAGGAAGATTTAGTGCTTGGGTTTTATTACGGCAGCTGTCGTAACATTTTAGGATTTAGAGAGTAGTCTTTAATCAGCTGTCAACGTGTAAGTTTCAGAGGCTACCTACCTCCCCACGTGCCCGCCCTTCCTCGTGCGCTGGCGCACCCTCCCTGGGGCGGCGCACCCTCCCTGGGACAGAGCGTCTCAACTCTGCCACCGCCCGGGAGGCACTGGTATTTAAAATGAAGGAAGTGAGGCAGAGCGAGACTAAGGAATGGCTCCAGGCCACCAAAGCCAGTGGGTGCACCAGCCGACCAGTCTCCACACTGCCCCCCACACGCACCCCAGGACCAAGTGTCCTAGCCCCGAAGGAGCCTACTGCTCAGCTTCCTCCTGTCCCCGGGCTGGGTGGCACCGGGCCGTGGCCATTCTAGAGGGGCTCCAGCTAAAACTGCCACCTGCAGAGGAAGCCCCGATGCCTGGCAGAGCGCCGTCCCAGCACCCTGCAGAAACCACCGTCCCTACAGAGCCTGTTCCCTGGCACGGTGGGCCAGTCCACAGGAAGCTCTTTGTTCAGGGACGAGCCCCCAGAGGTATGAGGAGCCTTGTTGGCAGTCAGTGCTGCAGGCTGGCAGATCACATGCTTCCCCTTTAAAGCCCCACTTTAAGTCCAAAGCATGGCAACACGGGACTGCAGAGGGCAGCGTACGTAGAAAACGGCCACTTACTTAATGGCATAGGGGTCTTCTATTTTGGGCTGCTCAAACAGCTGGGCCGTGCCTGCCTTGACACTGTCAACCACTTTACTTTTGAACAGGTGAACATCTTTTTCATACCTGTGTTAAAAGTTTAAAAATCAGAACGTTACTAACATCATCTACTTAGCTACATCTTCAAATTTACCTTCAGTACAAAGCAAAGGGGCGTACAGGACGGCAGCCTCGGGGTTGAGGGGGCTCGCGGTGTCGATCTTGTAGAACACCCTCCTGGCGTACATCAGGACCTGCCAGATGTGGTTGTGGTTGCGCCTGCGGGGAGACGGGCCGGCTGCCGAGGCGTCCTCGCACTGACGGTCGCCCCTGCAGGGCCCCTCGTTACTCACCTCCACTTGGCGAACGCTCGCTTCACGTCCAGCTCCCCCGAGGCGGGGTCCACCAGCGGGTGGAAGACGGGCATGTCGAACACCAGGCGCTGTGCGGGCAGAGGGGCGCAGTCGTGACTGGAAGCGGTGGGGGCCGGGCCCAGGCACACGGGGTGAGGAGTGCATCGGGGTGAGGCTGGCACCCCGTCAGGGAGCTGCCTCAAGGGCGGGGCTTAACTGCCTCACCACTTCCCCATGGCGCTTGCTCTTGCAGTGAGGGGGTCCCCACCCCAGCGCCCGGCACCCACGCGGGGCTGCGGTGCGGCCTCCGCACGCCCCGAGCAGCGGGGCACGGAGAAGCTCCTGGCGGAGGCCGGCAGGGCCAACGATGCACCCGAGCCTGAGGCCCCCCCCGGGAGACTGCGCGGCAGACGGACGCGTTAGGAGACAAGCCGTGACAGTGGTCAGTCGGGAGAGAGCAGGAGGCTTTAAGGCCCTGCGCGCGCTCCTCGCTGGCCGGCGCGCGAGGCCAGGTGGTGGCTCCTACTTACCGGACAGTCGCCGTCGGGGTAGTTATCGGGGATGTAAACTGTAAATTTGAACACGCCATCCTGATAGAGTCCGTGCCGTATGAATATGACCCCGAACCACACTGCAGGGAACAGAAGCCGGTTAGGGCCCGCGTCTGTGTGGGAGGGGCCCACAGGCTGCCGCTGGCAGGACGGGGCGGATCCTTACTCAGTGCCGAGCGGTAGGACGGCTGCACGTAGACCCCGGGGAGCCGCTGCTTCACAACCAAGGTGCTGAAACGGAAGCAGCACAACAGTGAGACGCGTGGCGGCACGTGCCACAGACAGGTCCGACCCCCCCACACATTCTGAGGCGCTACAGTCCCGTCGGGCAGCTGCCGCCCTAACTCGACAGGCTGAGCCATCCCAGCCTCTCACGTGGCCTGCCTGCCGCCCCTCTCCTGGCCTCGCCGCCAAGGGCCTCAGATTAAGAAATTCAAGCCAGCAGGGACACACGAAGAATGAGGTTGTCCTCCCAGAAATCCACTTCCCCAAAACATCACCTTGGAAACCAACGTGGAGGTAATTCAGAACCACGCAACCTGGTTTAAGTTCTGGATGTTAAGTTTGAGGCAAATGAGGGTATTGGTCAAGTTGCTGCTTCTGTGATTGGCGAGGACAGAGCCCACCCACACACACCCCAAGGCCATCTGAAACAACTGTAGGTAATTAAGAACAAAATGCCACTGAAATGCCCCCACTCAGGTGTCCCGATCTTCAGTTAGGTCACCGTCCGGGCGGCGGAGGGCCGCGTTTCGCTTCCCTTGCAGTGTGGACGGTGAGGGCGGGCATCGGGGAGGCCCTGGCGCGGCGCCCTGCTCCTAACTCTACCCCGCGCCGCAGACACCCGGCTCTGGTCCAGGTGTGGGAGGCGGTGGGTGCCGAGACCGGGAAGACCAGGGTAGGGCAGGAAGGTGGCACTGGCTCTCTGGGGACCTGGGCCCCCACCTACGGCCACGCTGTGCTGTTCCTCGCCAGCGAGCCGCTAGGCTCAGTGGGCCAGGCCGTGACCAGACCTCGGGGAGAACGAGGTCAGGCTAGGGCCCTAGAACGCACTAACCTGCCAATCCTGAGTTTTAATTGAGAAGTAGTTTACTGGCCCTTAGTTGACAGTTTTTACTACCTACTGGCCATCACACTTATTTTTAATCACGTTGAAGCAGTCACCCCATTTTTAAGGCCCTAAAGTCGGCATGTCACAGCAGCATGCTGGGCAGACGCAGGTATAAAGGGGCCCCCGCCCCCGCAGGCCCTGTGGGGTGGCCTCAGACCCTCTGGCCAGCACAGCATTCGTGCAGGGACAGAGCGCTCAGGGTGCCTTCAGAAAACTGCAGCTACCAGGGAACTACTTTTCCAGTTGTGCCACTGAGTTACAACTCAGAGTGTGCCTTTACCCCCTGGGCTCAAAAGACTTGTGGCTCTGGCTGCAGTGCTGCACTTCGTCGAGCACTAAACTAACACGGCACGTAGCGAGCCTTGGACGCAAGGCTGGGGCGGAGCTTGCTGGAGTGATGTCAAGTGCTGTGCACAAAGGAATTTCAAACTAATTGGAATTCAGAATGCACCACACCTCCAGCCCTTGTAACAGGTTAATGAAATCAAATGCCATCGGCACTCAGTCATTCGTGGAGCCCGTGGTGGGCCAGGTGCCGTGCCATAATGACCAGCATTCTGCAGACGTGCTCCTCCCCCTCCGAAGACACGTGCACTGCCGTCCACTCGTGACCTCTGTGACCAGTCAGCCTGTTCCTGCAGGGAGCCCTCATCTGTATGACGACCTATAATCGCCTGATTCGGCCCTGGGGGGTCCTGTAGAGCAAGTTAGATCAGATCCCCTGTCTAATGACAGTCCTTCAGGTGCATCAAGTCCCCCCATTATGGACTGACCCCCAGAAAGGAGCGCAAGCCTCCAGCCAGGCCTGCCCCGGGAGAGCGCAGACCACCACCCTCCCACAGGCCTGTCCTCTGCGGCCACCTCTTCAGGAGGTGGGTCCCCGCTCCACAGAGGGACAGCAAGGTCCCGACCTACACCGTCAGTGTTTCATCGCCCTCTCCCCCTGCTCCTGCTGTCCAAGCAGGCATAGAAATCGAAGCACACGTTTGCTTTTAAATATTACTTACCCTTATTCAGGCTCTGAATAAGAATTATTACATTTCCTAGACGATATTTATAAACACTGCTTAGACCTCGGTTAAGAAAACTGATGTTGCCAGTGATAGCCTCCATCTTTCTATACACATCAAGGCTGGGTGGGTGTGAATTTGAGCTTTAAGAGTAAGTGGCTGATGTTTACTGAGTCTAGCCCATCAAAGTGACTTTCATTCTCTACCTTCAAGAGGCATTCGAAGGGTAAGCGAGTAGTCTGTTAAGAACTTACAACTCTGCGAGGAGCGAGTACTCCAGGTAGAAGGGTCCGTAGGAGGCATGTGTGCCGTTGGCGGACTGGGCTGCCGGGGCGGGGGATGTCGGCTTGGTTATGGGCAGCGCGTTTTTAGGAATGGAAGGCAGCTGTTTCTTGGGAGCAGTGCGCGGAGGGCTGGTCTTCCCGTCCCCTGTCAGTGTCTTCTCGTCGCCATCAGACCGCTGTTCCAGGGGAGGGGGTGAGAACACCTGTTAGGATGACTCTTAAATCTCAGCAGCGCATGTCATCGTAGTCCTTGACCTGAAAGCTGGAATACCCTTTTCAAGGGTATTCTAGCACCAGATCAGGGGGACTTGAAAGGCCTTCCAGCAGGAGGGCCTCAGAAAGAGCAGACTAAACCCGAAGCAAGACTAAAGCACTAGAAAACTCTTGTTAGCTGCGTCCTATACAGACGAAGCCAGTGTTTACAATATTTCAGTGAAAGAAAGAAATTGGCCCCCCAAAAGGGCAAGGGGTTAGTACACAATTAGACACCCAGACAGGCTACAAAAATCCCTGGGCAGTTAGACGCTGTAGGAGGTCAGGTGCTACGCAGCTCTGAATCAGTAGAGATGGCCCTGACTGGTGCGGCTCCGCGGGTTGGGCACTGTCCCGCAGAGCGAAAGGTCACAGGTTCCATTCCTGGTCAGGGCACATGCCTGGGTTGTATGGGCCGGGTCCCTGGTTGGGGCCATGAGAGAGGCAACCGATCTCTTGCACATCAATGTTTCTCTTTCCCTCTTTCTCCCTCCCTTCCCCTCTCTCTAAAAATAAATGAAAATCTTTTAAAACTTTTAAAAAATCAAGAGATGACTGAAATTAGTCACCCCCTAACAGCACCTGGGTTAGAAACAAAGAAGGACGCTAGTAGCTCCCTCGCAACGGGTCTAATTTTGATCTTGTCCCTAATGGATACGTTTCGACACTCGGACTCTCCCCAGCATGAGCTACATCCACAGCAGAGATGAAGGTCTAAATGAGTCCGACTAGACGCCCCTCTGACACGTGCGTCCTTGGCTCCAGGACAGCACAGGCTGCTTAATTAGCTGCACTAAAAATGTATGTCATGTGCATTAAAAAAGATGATTAATAGTGGTGGTCTCATAGAGGTGGAATTATGAGTTATATTTATTTTCTTTTTGTCTACATGTGTTTGGCCTTCCTACAATGTATTATTTTTGCAATTAAAAAACATTTTATTTAGAAAAACCAGTGCCTTCAAGTCTGACTTGACCACATTGGACTGACCTTTCCCAAGGGGTTTCGAACCATAGAATCTTGCAGTTTAGTAAGAGCAACTATAGTAACAAGTGACAAATTCCACGATATGTAATTATCACCTGTCAAAACAGTCTTAGAATCATGATTACCGGGACGATTTCTATTTTAGATGTGATGTCAGTCTCAGAAACTAACTGTAATCGACAAAATAATCACTTCTCAAAAGTAAAACCTGAACTAGGAAAACAAAATAATCTTGTTAAGATTCCAGAGCAACCTCAGTAAGGATTATTTTGGCCTCTCCTGTGAGGCACACAGTTTCCTCACTGAGTCTATGCACTAGACTTACTTTGCGTCCAGAGCTTGCAGACATGCTCCAGAAAGGGTTCATAACGTGTGCTCCACACACACAAACGCAGTAGTCTGTGTGTCATCAAACTCGTCCGTGCCGCAGACTCACTCTCCCTGAAGATGAGACGGGAAGCACAAACACCCACACCAAAAGTTAGGACGACAAAAATGATTAGGAGCTAAAGCTGACACTATCAGTAGGGGCACAGTATAACATTATATAATACATAGCTTTAAGAACCTAGGGGGAAAAGTGTTTTCAGAAATAGTCTCCTTGAATACCCTCTCTGTCTTTTGACTCCAAATTCTTTCCCACCTTTAAGTGTCTGCAGGAATGTGGGTGCCCGGTGCTTGGCCAGGACTCAGAATATTCAGTGGCACAGCCCGGCTCTGGTGTCAGGAATGCAGAAGGTATGGACTGTTAACAGTTGCCGGTACCATAATACCGAGGCATTTGACTACCAGGAACACCAGGTTCGGAAGGCACTCTACCCACATAACACAAAAAAATCTAGTGCTGTTCTCAGGGTGACAGGGAATTAAAGATCCATTTTTAAGTGTGTATTAAGTCACCTGTGTCAAGAACACACTGATTCTCTCTGCCAGGAATAAAAACGACGAGGGAACGGGGGGCATGCAACAGAGAGGGCTAATGGGGCCCTACTGGGACCGTCCCGCCAAAATGGCCTCTCCGCTGCTTGAAGGGTGGAGGCTGCAGGGTTGGGCATTCCAGCATTTTCCAGCCAACATACACAAATGCAGCAGAGGAGTGTAAGAGAGCTTTCACAAACACAGGTCTTCCGCTAGAGCTTCTAGTCAGTGGGTAAGAAAGCATGTCCCTAAGGTCACAAAGTCAGTGGGTCATTTACTAGAAATACAAAGGAAGAGAAGCAAAGGGACAACAGCAAGCCCATCTGTAAGAACAGCACCTCCTCTGCTCTGGCGATGTCCCCCACAAAAGGCAGAGTTCCTTCTCTGAATTCCAATTTGCACCAATCAGAAGGCTGGAGGTGAAAAGTGTCAAAATTTAGCAACATCTTAATAAATTCATAAGAAGTTAATCGTTAGAGGATCATGTGCCAGATATGTCCCTAATCAGCAAAAATGTGTTTTCCGACAAGCCTATGCCACCCACAGAGGACGAGATCTCCCGTACCTGCCAGTGCCCATTACCGCTGACCTGATGCCACCCAGTAATTAACCCAAGGAATGACGACTCTGGTTCTTCCACAGACCTGCTGACTTACATCCTGTAAATAGCAACTTAGTACTAAAAGTTTTCTGCAAATTTGCCTTTAAAGAGGACTATGATATGCATGAAAGTACTTGGAACATCAAAAATGTGTCCTGGTTGGCTCAAATGAACACAGCACTGGTTTCCAGAGCCAGACAGTGCGCAGCACCCCACTGTCATCCAAGACGGACCTGATTTCACAGGGAGGACACCCGTCCCCTTGGGACACAGTGATCGCCTCCCACGTAAAGTTACAGGTGACTGGGGGGGGCCAGTTACCTGTAAGGTCCCCTCCAATTCTAACACGTAATGGTTCTGTAACTTTGCCTTTAAAAAATAAAAGTTGCCCCCAGTTCTTCCTATGTTTCAGCAGGAGGTATACTGTCTACAGTTGCAACATAATCACCTGGAAATAACGACACCATTCATTAGCGGTCTAGTCTATCTCAGGCGCAGTACAGCGCTTTCCAACAGGAGTGACATAGATAGACCAAAGACATAAGATACGTCCTAGTCATTAGGAAACAATTTTTAAATTTCCGGTTAGGCCATACAAACACGCCAGGATGTTGGACCTGTACGAGTGTTACGTACATGGCGTGAGCCAAAACTCAAAGACGGGGCTGCTTTCCTCCTACGTGCCACAGTCCCTACACAGGCACTACCTTAATCCATCGCCAGAACAGCCGTAAATGCCATGATAGGAGACCACGGAACAGTGCCCACAAAACAGACAGGAACGGCCCGTGTTTGGCCCGGCTCGCCGGGGACAGTCAGACGGGCACCCAGGAACGGGGCGGAAACCCATCTCCGCGCACCCAGAGAATCTGGTCAAACCTGTCTTGATGTGAAGTAAGGCAGGGGCCATGCCCCAGTTTCATGGCTACCTTGAGATGGCCCGGGCCCACAAGCCCCTCTGGGTGGGTGGCTGAAGGTCTCGAAGGGTCGCCCCCCCCCCAACTAGGGTGCAAGGACAGCGGGTGCGGGGTCAGAGCCAGGGAAGGCGGGACCTGGATGGGGCGGGCCAGCACAGCCCAGCTCCCGGACGGACAGACCCCAGCGCCCCCAGCGCCGGTTGGAGCCCCACCTCCGCTGCAGGCGCAGCAGGTGCCCGCAAACGCGGACAGGTGCCCAGCCCCGCCCCCCATGTACCAGAGCGGCTGCCATCGCTATGGAGGCAAAAGCACCCAACAGGGCAGAAAAATGCCGGCTCGGCCGAGGACACTGGCGGCCACATTTAAAGACTCCGCGGCCCTCACGGACTTACCCGCCTGCCTGGCAGTGCACCTCACCTCAGTGCCTTCAATGCAGTGCCCCGGCCTGCTGAGCGCCGTCGGGAACCCACAGCATCCCCGCCGCAGCGCCAGCCCGGCTCCTGCCTGCTCCCCTCCCCGCCCGCCCCGCCCTACGCTCCGAGTGGAGACCCACCCCCTGCCCCACACCCCTGGTCTCCGAAGCTTCCGCCCAGCCTCCCGATATCAAGTGGCTTCCGCACCTGTCTGTCAAGGACTTTTTCCGGGGCGTTGGGTAGACCACACTCCGTCCTGCCAATGAAATCTCCTCTACTAGGGTGGGGCACCACTTGGCCCACCCCTTACGTAACAGCGCTCTGAGAATTGTCAAATCCGGAGTCTAAACCGCGGTAGACGGACAAGCGACGGTACATAATTGGCCACAGCGTCAGCCAGTCACCATTGAGACCCGCCCACATATTTGTGTGTGGCCGCTGCAACCATTCAGAAAGGTTGTGACTGCGGGTGTTCCAAACCAGGGCCGGGGCGGGGCCCGTCACAGGGCTGAAGTCGCCAAGAGACTTGCGGGGTTGCGGGCCTTTGGTGCACGTGACCGTCCCGGTCCATCAAATACTGGACTGCTCCTGGCAGCGCCACCAGGCCCCTGACCGCCGCGTTGACCAGGAACGAGAGGGCGTGTCAAGTGGAGAGAACCCGGAACACCGCTTTACGTATATCGAGGAACACCCGTTTTCTACGTCAAAGAGTAGAGGCGCTTGGATGCCGATGATGGGAACCAAACTCCCGAGTCATCCCGCGAGAGCAGTGCTGCCAAAGGAGCTTTGAAAAATGTATGCGTGGACCCCGAGAAAGAAGACAGTCATGAGAAGGGCTGCTGGCGGCTAACTGGGCTCAAATGTATACAGGGACCCCTCAACCCAAAGCGCACTTCAGGGAGAAGCCTGGACTGCCTTCCCCGTGTTCCAGCCATCCCAGTCAGCTCTTACACAAGAGGCTCTGAACCTATTTCGCCCATCAGCCAAAATGACTCCGTTCTGACCAATCAGGACAGTACCTTTTGGACCAATCAAAGGATTTGGAGTCCTCATTTGCATGAAGACAGACCAATCAGAGACCATGGGCGGGATTCCTGTTTACCATATTTTGCTGTGTATAATGCACACCCACGTGTTTGTGTGCGTTATTACACTGATTATACCCATGATGTGTAATAATTATACCCCTGTATAATGCGCGTCCTTATTTTTCCCTAAAAAAATTGGGGCAAAAAAGTACGCATTGTACAGGGCAGAATATGGTATATAGGTCAGCTCCTCTCTGTCTCCCTTTCTATCAAAGACTGAATGGAGACGCGTTTCACCACCTCGGGCCAGACCTACCTCCCTCCTCACAGCTCTGCAGTATCACAACTGAGATGTTCCCTTTACTGACACATCCCAAACTGGGGGTTCCTGCTGGCATTGAATTGGCACCAACGACCATTGGTTGATTAACAGACCGGATCCAAAATGTGGGATGGGGTTAGGTAGGGCAGTGATGAGTACTAGAAATTTACATTTGTCACAGATTCCGGTGCATACTCAGGAGTTTGAGAAGGCCTCCTATGGCACTCTAGCCTCTGGTCCTTTCGTCATTTTTATGTATTTCTACCTCACAAGCCTGCACTTGGATCTGGAATGCCTTTACCAGCACTAACACTGCTCAAAAAGCTTTCCACCAACTCAAGAGCCATTTCAGACTGAGTCAGGCCTAACTCCGCGAGGTACGCCCAGTGCTGACCATTCCCGTGTTCCTGTCTCATCTTCCGCACTGGTCCCCGGGCTCCTCCTGAGACCGCTGCCCCGGCGTCGGCGCCTCCGCGCCTTTCCTTACAATGGTGCCTTCTCCTGGGAGGCTTGTCCAGCCCCCACCTAACTCAGTGCCTCACACTCTGACCAGGTTGTTCAGTTGTTTGGTTGCTTTGGAAATCCTGGTAAAATGGCCGTGTTAAATGGCGGGCAGCCGAACCCTCCTCACGTTAATCCCAAGGGTAGGTTCTGAAGCCCAACTTCCTCTCCTCGTTGGAAACACTCCTAAACCACTTCCTTTCATCCAGTTTTAGTACACTTAGGTGTGTAAGTCTCTGTTAAGAGGCAAGCAGAAAGTATTTTCTGCTGGCCAGAGGTGGTCTTCCTTGGCATGTCTGGTTCGCAGGCTCATCGCCCTCTCCAACACTTTTTTCCATCTCGCTCTACTCTGTTCTCGGCACTCTCAGCCCTTCCCCAAGCTGTACCTGGGACTCGTATTTCTCCAGCTCAGACCTCGCCCCTGAGCTTCGGGTGCGCGTATCCAACCGCCCTCGAGGCCCTGGTGCCTCAGACACATACCAGTCAGAATCCTTACAGCTGCAAATACCAGAAAACCCAACTTAAATTGAGCTACGTGACAAAGTGCTTTCTCTCGCAGGGCAGGGCAGGCCCCTGGGGTGGCACCCCTCTTTAGGCACTGCTCTACTTGCTATCCCCGGGTGCATTTCCAGGCTGGTAGCAAGATGGCTGCCGCCATGCCAGGCACAACAAAAGGTCTTTTTCTTCCTGTGGTTCCTTTGGAAGAGCTGGCAGACCTTTCCCAGCAGCTCCCTAGAAGCAATAACCATGTGTCAGGAACCATAAATGAGTCACTGGGTCTCCACCCATAATCATCAGGGGCAAGCGGACCCAGTCTGCCACGCTTGGCTCGGCTGGTCAGGGTTTCCCCAGGACCCCTGGACTTCAGGCAGACGAGGGGCACGGTCAGATTTGTACCTGGAAACAGGGACTGTGTGTGGAGAACAGGTCGTAGGGCCACAAGAGTAGGAGAGCACTGGGGAAACCACTGTAGTCGTTCAGCAAGAGACAACCGCACAAATACGACGGTGGGGATGGGGAGGTGAGTGGCCTCCAGAGACGGGCAGGACTGGGCCACAGACGAGATATGGGGCAGTGGGGTGACGATAACAGGCATATCATGGGTGACACCTAGATTTCTGGCTTGAGCTGCTGGATGAATGATGAGGCCATTCGCTGAGACAGAACAGTAAACCACGTGGATTATGGGAGGGGGGAAGAGGGGGACTAGTCGTCTTGGATGGGCGATGTTTGGGGTGTTTCTGTAAGTGCTGCTGCTCGTGTGCCTGACACATAGCCTTGGTTTTTGCCGAGTCCGCCCCTTCAGTGGGTCCTGTCACCCTTAGATCAGAGACCAAACTCCTTACCGTGGCTGTGGGCCCAGCATGGCAGGGCCAACACCTGTCTAGGTCCCTCTGGTCCCAGGCTCCAGCCACTCTCAATTCCTCGGAGGCATGACGCTCTCCCGTCCTGCCCCATCCCTAGAGGGCGCTTTGCACCGGATGTTTCCTTTGCCTGAAACATTCTTTTCACTCCCCCTCCCCCCTGCCCCCACTCTCAGTTCAGACACGGCTTCCTCGGAGCCCTTTTCTGTTTGCTTGGGAGACGGCTTCGTGTCTTTCTCCCGCGCTGCACTGCACACCCCACGGTTCCGGAGCTGTGTCTGTTTTGCTCTGGGTGGTTTCCCCAGCATCCAGCCCAAGGCCTGCGTGTAGTGGGGATGTGGGAAATATCCAACAAAGGAAAGACAGAAGCAATTTAAAGTGTGTTTAAAGCACCTACCCACCTGCGTGGCCCCAGCTCTGCATCGAGAAAGCAGCTCAGCATGAGGGCGACCTAGTCAAAGGAAAATGAGTGAGGAGGCAGCCTGGAGGCACTGAACTCTAAGACCAAAATATAAAGCTCTGAGAAAGAAAGCCACCTGACCCTAAACTTTGCCTATAAAACGTTCTCAGTCGCTTCATGTGATGCTCCTTACTCTAAGCTTTTGGAGCATATGTGGTGTCTGCGTCTGAAGACGAACCCTTCTTGCAGCTAGCTGGGCTGAATAGCTATGTGATCTCTCCGAGCGTTCACCACCGGCTCATTTCCAGTGGCCAGAACCATACTGAATCCGCTTTCCTTTCGGTTTCTGGGGCGTCGACTGTGCAAAGTGGATCTCTGACTCACGACCAGAGGGAGGCCTTCACAGAAGGAAGGGGCAACATTATGGCGAGTTGAAATGTGTTTGTGTTTCTGATACGAGCAAACACGTACAAGCCAATATTTTCATCGCGATCCGTTTGCCCCCGAAGCCTTCTGGGAAGGGGAGGGTCCCAGACGGCGTGGCACCTGTATCGCCGGTTGCGCGTGCTGGTCGAGACCCATGAGATGATTGATTGCCCAGCTGCATGTTCACATTTTAATGTGTCAGGAAAAAGTAACATCTCAAAGCCATGATTTGTATGACTAGCGATGTCTAGGATGAGACCACAGTAGGCATTTAAGTTGTTCTAAGTGAATGGATTTAAGGGATCTTAAGTGACAGTTCTGTAGTTAACAATGACCCTCAGGCATGGCAGAAACCCTGCATTTCTGACAGTGGTAGAAGTCTGAGAAACACTGTGCAGAAGGCGGTGCGGCTTCTGTCCCGTCCGCCTCCCCACTGGTCACTGCCGCTCTTGCTCATCAACACCTGAAGCGTGCGTCTGCTTTTTTGATTGTACCCTGTCTTCCCCCGTAGCTCCTGGCCCTTGAGGGAATCAGTAAATGGGTAATTAGATAGATGAAGGGGTGGGGCTTGCAGAACACCGCATTTCAAATCTAAGTCAGAGGAGCTGATGGACTGCTGTGAATATACTCATGCCTTAAGGAAAATCAACCAGTATACAACACTGCAGCTCCTAGAGGGCCAGAGAGAACTGATTTTCTTTATAACCGAACAGCACTTTGAACGTGGCACAGAGCTACAAATAACCGCCACTCCCTGAGCACGCCGATAACGACCCCACCGGCGGCGGCAGGAACAATCTTCTCAATTGCCCTTATCTTTGCAAGACCACCTCCTTCTGTGGTTTTAGAGCGTCTGGAAAGGCAGTAAAGACTTCAGGTTGGCTTTAGCTGGAGTGGCAGGCTCAGACTCGCTGTGGGA